CCAAGACAACAGAACATCACCGGAGACTACAAATTCCTCAAAAGTATGAAGGAAAAACACAAAACACACCCATGAATTAGATTTAAACATTGGCGTGTTGAATCAGCTCATGTGTCTTTATTTTCACACTTTAGGCCCGACTTCAACGCTGTCATCCAGACATTCAACAAACTCAGATGACTCAACTTTAAGCAGAGGTAATTTGGAGATGTTATGAAAACATTCAATTTTTAACCTCACATGATTTTATCCTTTTCAAACTTGATCTCATGCGTCTTTGTGTTTATCGCGCAGGTTCATCCAGAGGGGTGTTTGTCATGCTGAGCCTGGAAAAAGCTCCTGTCGCAGGTGAGCCCGTCCGCTTCACGGTGAGAGTCATCAACAAGCAGAACATCCCCAAAATGTTGAAGGTGCACGCGAACGCTCAAGCGAAAGAATACGACCACAGCCCTTCAGACACCTTCTGGGAAAACCACGGTGTGATAAAACTGGCTCCCATGGAAGGTAAATCCACTTTACACTCATTCACAAACTCAAATGTCAACTTCTGTGTGGGTTTAGTGACTCAAAGGTTTGTCTCTTTTCTTCTCTTTTCTGCTCCAGACACAGTCCTCCACAATCAGATCCTCCCGGCTCAGTATGAGGACGTGGTGGGAGATGACCTGATAAACCTGGCTGTGGTCTTAGAGGACATAGGGAGTCAGGAGAGAGTTCTGGCCTCAGAGGAGTTCAACATCGCCAGCCCACAGCTCAACATACAGGTACTTCATAATCGAATATTATGATCCAGTTTTAAAGCTAATCCTCTTCTGATTAAATTAGATTAATAAGATCAAGGTGTTAAATATGAGACTTTTGTGTAGATTAAGTCAAGAGAAAATCCCTTTAATCCAGCTGTAACATTCATAATGTCACTTTTAGGCTCCAGATATGTCACTAGAAAAGGGAAAGACATTAAAATGACTCAGAAGACTCTTGAAAATAGATTATTTAAAGGTCTAAAACAGACTGAAATTTTAAAAAATCCTTATTATGAGCTAAAAATACAAATGAGAACACAATCAGTTGGATACACATTTTTTTCTGATTATTTTTCATATTTTTTTAAATATATTTATATATATATATATTTTTTCTGATTCTGGAAAAAAAAAAAAAAAATAAGCAATTTCCCTTCTGGGGATTATTAAAGTATTTCATAGTTTTTTACTGGGAGTAGGTGTCAAATTGTCTTTACCTCTCTTTTTGAATGCAAAAATTCTTGTTCAGACTGAAAGGTTTACTTCATATTTTTAATATTTTCACAGTGTCAGGGTTTCTATGCAAGTATGGAAATCAATTTTATCAATTTTCAGGTCTTCAAAAGTATGGAAAAATATTTATGTTTCCAGACACAGTTCTAAAATACTGTTGTCTAAAATAGAAAAGTAGGTGTTTCCTAAAATAATGCTAAAAAGTAGTGTATGGAAAAGAATGGAAATTCCAACTGTGTAGGAGCCCTGAGTGTATTTCATTTACTATTTATGGTTTAATGTTTATTAAAATAGGGGAAAGTATACAGCAAGTAAATTAAACCCCCTCCTCTAAGCTGCAGAGGTAAAAACATCGAAGTTGTAGGCGTTAAAACTGAACATTTTTAATCCAGACAAGCGCCTTCAATCTGATGATTCAAGTATGGATGTTTGATGTGAATTCACCTGATTTAATTTTCTATTTTTAGATCGTGGATGAAGACTCCATCATGCCGTTCAGAGAACAAACGGCTACAGTGACCTTCAGGAACCCTTATTCCCACCCTGTGAGTGGAATCCTGACTGTATCCGGGGCCGGGCTGATCCAGGGCAAACTGCATTACAGGTACTCATCTGTTGTCCTTTTTTATATACATGCTGATTATTTCATGTTGCACGTATAATTCACCTGGCGCCTCAGTAATGGCTGCACAGTGAGTGAATAAGCGAAGGAATGAAGGAGTGTCAGCGTTGAGTACATGACGGTACAGTGTGTCTCCGTGCAGGAATGAAGGCTTGTTGTTACGCTTGTACTGTTCTGCTCATGTTTGTTTTAAGTGTTCGGGCAGGTGTGGCTGTGAAAGGCAACAATACTGCCAGTGATTATTTTTATAATATAGGGCAGTAATGATAATTGATGGTGTTTGTGGAAGACAAAAGGACGACCTAGAGATGCGTGCTTCAGTTTAAGACATTTTTTGAGGGATTTTTTTCTCAACAGTCGTAAAAAAAGTAGGTCTCAGGAAGTGAACTCCAGTCATTAGAGAGCAGGTCAACGTTTCAGCTACTGAAGATTATTTGGATTTAGTTTGCAGGTCAAGTCTTTAGATTCTTACTTTATTTATTCCTCTTTTCGAGAGAGAGATCTGTCTTGGCCTGTGCAAAACAAAGATCCTCATTCTTAATGAATTCAAAGTAATTTCATCCTGGTGGTTGTTTTAACTCTTCTGTATCTTCTCTGTGTTTTCCTGCAGGATGCCTCCTCTGAGTCCAGGTGGGACAGTCCAGCAGCAAGTCACCTTCATGCCGAGCATGATGGGAACTAAGATGCTGCAGGCGAACCTGTCGCTGGCCAACATGAGGGCCAACATCAGAGGCTTCAAGATGGTTTCTGTCCGCAGAGCTTAGATCCTGCTTTTCGAAGATTGTTATACCTTACTTTTTTCAGTTTTGGGAGGGACAGTTTGGAATGATAATGTACATTTTTAATACTTTTCTTTGCCTCTGAAATCTTGTTTTGTGCACATTGTATTCATGTAAAGTCTCTCAGTTGCAACCAGGACATGGGAAACGTTACCGCTAGCATTTATGTCTTTCTGCTACTGTTGAAATCAATGTGAATAGAAGATATATATTTATTTATTTTGGTATTTATTTTTGCTATTTATGTGATTGAGCCACAAGAATGAACACTGAAACGGTATTATCTGGAAATCTTACTTGAAATTCAAAAGCTGCTCTGTGATTTTTTGCTTTTGTTTGAAATAAAAATAAACTTTTAAAGAATAAGGTCCGAGTGATTCCTCTGTATGTGTGTGTGTGTGTGTGTGTTTTCATAGAAACGCAGTTCTTTTTACAGCCTGAAGAGGGAGTTTTTGATCAAACATTACTTAAAGCTCCTGTTTGGAGATTTTTAATGTTTATGAAAAAGACTGAAATTCAAATTGAGGCCTTTGCACGATATCCAAAAGCAAACAAGACCTTCAGCAATAAGATTGATTTTTATACTATACCGTAAATTTTTTTGGTGAATCAGAATAAGGTAACTCTACCTAAAACCAGTGTGAGAGGGTACGTGTAAGCTGGGCTGCTTAAGAAACAGACCTGTTTTTGACCTGTTTGCTCAAAATCAATGAAAGATTAGACCTTCAAAAGTCAGCAGGCTGAGATTTTTGTCGCAAGTCACCACTAAAGTTCAGTGGTGTGAAAAAGTGTTTGCCCTTTTCCTGATTTCTTATTTTTTTTGCATGTTTGTCACACTTGAATGTTTTTATGAGGGTTTTTATTTTTAAAGGAGAAAAAAATCCAAACCTAAATGCCCCCCTTGTTAAAACATAACTTAACTGTGGTTTATCACACCTGAGTTCAATTTCTCTAGCCACACCCAGGCCTGATCACTGCCACACCTGTTCTCAATCAAGAAATCACTTAAATAGGATCTGCCTGACAAAGTGAAGCAGACCAAAAGATCCTCAAAAGCTAAACATCATGCTGAGATCTAAAGAAATTCATGAACAAATATGAAAGAAACTCATTAAGATCTATCAGTCTGGAAAAGGTTATATTGCTATTTCTAAAGAGGTTTACAAAAGACTCACAACAAACCCAAAGAACTGCAGGCCTCACCTGCCTCAGTTAAAGTCCGTGTTCATGACTCCACCATAACAAAGACACAGAGCAAAAACTGGCCCTGCATGGCAGAGTCTAAAGACAAAAACCACAGCTGAACAAAAAGATCATTAAGGCTCTTAATGAGCTTGATGATCCCAAAGACTTGGGGAAATACTCTGTGGTCTGACCAGACAAAAGTTGAACTTTTGGAGGGTGTTTGTGTCCTGCTACATCTGGTGTAAAAGTAACGCCACATTTCAGAAAAAGACCATCATTCCAACAGTAAAATATGGTGGTGGTACTGTGATGGTCTGGGGCGGTTTTGCTGCTGCAGGACATGGAAGACTTGCTATAATAAAGGGAACGGAGAGTGATTCGTTCACTGAACGTTTAGAAGAATTTACACAGAACCTGCAGTTTCCTCACAAACCGCTGCAATGATAGGATGCTGCGGATTTAATGCACTACTTGTTACATGCTGTGTCCTATTGTTTGAAAGTTGCTGTTGTGGCAATTTAGCAGTGAAAATTAAAAAGGTAGTTTTGTCAGACAAAAATGATTCCAGAGAGTGAAGTTCAATGCGTGATTCGTTAACCAAGTGATTCAGATGTCAGAGCATGTGGTCCCTCGTTCACTGACTGCTGGCCTGGCAATGCTGTTTCTCACTTCAGCTCAACTGAAGTGAGAAACGAACGAATCACTCGAGGAAGTGATTCGGTTCAGTATGTTCACTCAAAAGATTCAGTTCTTTTGAATGAATCGTTCATGAACGACACAACTCTCACAGATGCTAGATTGCAGTAGTTGCTGCTAAGGGTTGCCCAACTAGTTATTAGGTTTAGTGGGAATCACTTTTTCACACGGGGCCATGTAGGTTTGGAATTTTTTCTCCCTTAATAATAAAAACCTTCATTTAAAAACTGCATTTTGTGTTCACTTGTGTTGTCTTTGACTAATATCTAAATTAGTTTGATGATCTGAAACATTAGAGTTTGACAAACATGCAAAAAAATAAGAAACACTTTTTCACACCACGGTATCTGGAAGAAAAAATAAGGAAATGCTGCTTTTTCTGAACTTAAAGTTCCTTACAGCAGCTTTAAACTCAGGAAAAAGTCAAACTGTGAGGCTTTAAAAACAAATGAAACTCAACACACATTTCTCCCACAATGCAATTAATTTATCTTTATTAATCTTTTTATTTTTCACTGTCTGTCATAAAAGGAATGGACGATAAAGCATTATATACAAATCAAAGCTAAGCTGACAGGCAGTGTGATCGGCACATGCACGACCAAACCAGTTCATCTATATTACAAAACAGGTGGTTAGGAAAGGAAACGAGGAAACGAGGACAGAAGGAAGGGTAAAACATGACAACATTTACAACCAAGAATCAGAGTGAAGGATTTCAGCTCTTATTAACTTTTTTACAAGATTATAATTTTGGTTTTTGAAGGAGATTTTAATTTTTTTTAAGGTTGATGGTATTAACCGTAAATAAATAGATCATATTTTAACGGTGAAATATATCAGACTACTTTAAAAAGCCTCTACCTAAGAGGAGGAAATGATCAGACTTAAATCTACTTGTTTTAATCTTGTTTCTAACTTTGTTTTTCTCTCACTGGGAAAAAAGTTTAAGTCTAATTAAATATAAAAAAAGGACGAGACAAAACAATCAAAAAGATGATTAAAGCTTTCCATCCGTGCAGCTGTACAGTGCTCACTGTGTTCAATAGATCACTTTCATTCAGTGCATCACTTTTCTGCCAAAATAAAAAAGTGGAACACGTTTTTTTAAAAAGTTGAGATGAACTAAATTTAACGCAGGAAGTAGAAAACGAAAACAATTGCAGTATAAACCGTTGTTCCCTGGAGTTAGCTGTGAAGCTTTGGTCCTTTTGTCTTTAAATCTTGGTCCTCCATGTTGGCTTCATGTTCATGTGTCATTGGTTAGAAAACCTCCACGCTCCTTTTGGCCGGGCTGTAAATCTGTCCACCTGGGCGCTCCAAAGAGCCAGAGCTCAGACTCTGAATCAGTCTTTTCTGCTGCACCCTCACCTACGAGCTGCACTTTGCATGACTTTAAGCTGGAAGAGCAAAGAGTGGCACCTGGCGCCCTCTAGAGGTAGTCCAGCTCCAGTGCATGGCTCAGAGCCTCCAGATCGGCCCGACAGGAAACCCTCCAGAACGGCATGTTCTTCTGAGGACACAGAAGTAAAAACGAGAATCAAAGACGGCTCTGATTGAAAACATGCAAACCTAACACTCGATTCTTCACCAACTTCTTCAGTAGATGCTCTGCAGATGTGAAATACGGGCTGCGGTTTAGAGGGGGATTGTAGTATTTGACAAAGTATATGTGTTAGATAACATGTTGGCCTTTACTGTACAAGGAGGATTTGCTGAACTGCCAAATCCAGGAAAAACTATAACACGTAAAAGTCAAACGCATGAAGAAAAAGAAAACCTCGATCGAGTGTGTCTCAAGGTTAACTGATTAGTCAAGGCCCATTTTTTGTGCACAGTCATAAATTACCAGATTAAGTTATACCTTTTTGGCCACAGCTTCTTCCTCGGCTCCATCTCCGATCACCACATACACCGCTCTCCGACCAAACCTCTGAGACACTCGCTCGAAGCAGCTCTCCTTTCCTGAAAGAAGAAACTCTCGAGTTTAAAATGTACCCAAAAAACAAGGAGGTTGATAACTTTTTGGCAAAGAAAATAAAAAAAGCAGGTGGGTATCATTTTCTTCCTGAACATCTCTCCTTTCCTGTTTGTCCTCACCTGTCTTGGTGGCGCTGTAAATGTTCTCGATTGGGAAAGCAGAGCCCAGACCGTACAGTAACACCTTCGAGAGCGCCGGGATGAGCTGAGTGGTGGTTACCAACACGTTCACACAGTTTGGCCTGTTACAGAGCAGGTTACACACAGTTAAACTTACACCTTACATGATGAAGAAAATCAGGAGCGATCATCAGGTGGTGGAGGGTAAACTAAACGTACCTGGAGTTGATGAGAGCGAGAGCTTTGAGCGCCTGAGTCAGCCACAGGTCGGTCAGGACCTCCATCTCCCTCCTCAGCTGTAACCACTCCTCTCTCTTCGGGCTGCCCAACAAACCTGCACATCAGAGAGAGAACCAAGATTCAGGATCAGATTTAAACCAACATGAACCCTGATCGTCCTAACATACAGGTCCAATCTTTTCAGACTGGATTCTTCAAGGCAAGGCTGTCTTCTCTGTCTTCTGTCCCTGGATGGGAAACGTTCAAACATCTTCAAACCAAAACCTCAAACACACAGAGTCTCAGCTGAGTGAAAACAGGCAGCTGTAATCTGGACAAGAGTCCAGAATCGACCGCAACTTTAGACCCGATATCCGAGGAGAGAAACAAACACGTTTCCCATTTTTGAGCCTTTTCAGCACTTCGTTACTAAATTAATATACAGTATGTCAGATTTGACCAAATGTCTTTTCAAATATTCTTTTGAAAATATCAGGAGTAAATCATCACATGCATGTGTATGACTTTTTCTACCTGATAGACAAATTTGAGTTAAAAAATTTGAGTTTTGTGTTCGGCACAAAAATGATAACCAATGAGGATCCGAACCCTGGATAATAAATATTTATAGTATTGCATTAAGTATAGATATCTTTTATACTCAAATCAATCTGATAAATTTTCCATGATTGGCCGCGTTTTTGTTTTTACAGCTTTCACTTTGGGCATTTTTTTTCAGACGCGAACTAACGAAAAATTCATTTTGGCGGGTGTTAATAAAAATTTACACGCCAGTTTGGCCGGTGGTGCATGAGGCAATCATGTCAGTCAGCTCTACTTAGATTCTGCTCTCGGTCATTTGTCCCCCTGCCAGTAACTCCTACATTTCCCATAAAAACCGTTCCGTAACGCTTCGTAATGATGTTTCGTATGCCCATTGGCTGCGTGAATGTCGGTATTTCCTGCTAAAGTCTACAGCGCAACCAGCGCAAGAAACAAACAGAGTGAGAACAGAGAGTTTCGTAAAAATATCGTACCCAGTTAATTTTACAAAACAAAAGCAGTGACGTTGTTGTTGTTGCTGCTTTGCGAGATTCTGATTGGCTAACGTGGGCTTGAGCTTCTTGCTACACTGCCACCTACAGGTTTGGCATGCTCTTGACGACATATATACACGGGTTAGCGTAAACGAAAACTTTCCTGAAAATGTAGTGGTGTGCACAAAGTTTTTTTTGTAAACGGAGAGGGTGAAATGTCTGTTTATGAAACACTAACCCTAGCTGGACACATGTAAACGTAGTCTCAAACTAAACTAAATGTGGCGGTGGTTGAACTTGGGACAGACGAAGTTCGTCGAGAAGAGGAAGGATGGAGGAGATGAGGATAGATGAGGATGATTGGCTGGTAATTTTAGAGTCACCAGATCAAAAAAGTTAATTTAGGATCCTGCCTATGATGTCTTTAAATTGCTCCTTTTCTGGCATCCAACAATCAAAAATCCAAAGATTTCTTATTTTCACCCATAAAAGCAGAAAAAACACAATTTAAGGAGCTGGAACTGCAAAGATTTTTGCTTCAAAATGACTGAAATGATTTACTCACTATAAGAATAAATGTCTGTGATGATGAATCACAAAAACTGTCTGATTTTATACACAAAAAAATCTCAGATAACAAGCTGTAAACTTCAGCTGTCTGTACAAATGAGAAACGAGAAACATGCGACGTTACCTCCGACATTATTCTTGTACGTGTTGTAGATCTCCTTGACTCGGCGGTATCTGAAAGCCAGTTTCCTCATCCAGTCCACCCCTCCATGGACCCCTGACCCCAAGCACAGCGAGCCGGCCCCCGCTGGGCTCTGGAAGCCGTCTGAGCCGAAGTTGTAAGTACTGCAGGATCACAATACAGGAAACGGTCAGGATGTACATCATGAAGACATAAAACAGCGTTTTTCCAGAGCATCTCATGGTATCGTCTGTGTTTCAGAGAGGACGCTCGAAGAACATCCAACCCTACATTTATGGATCCGTTCTGTAGCTCTAGGAAGTGATTCAAACTGTTGGGGTTGCGAACAAGACTGCTTCGCTTTAACCATTCATCAAGTCGAGGGAGTTTCGCCAGGGGTACCACAAAAATTTCATGGACATGAAACGTTTTAAAATTGAATAACGCAGACATGGACTGAGAGTGGTGAATGAAGCTTTGTCAGTAAGAAATCAGGCAGTGTATACACTCAGAAAGGCATGGATAAATATATAAAAGGGCCGAGTTTAATAAAATAAATACTTCAAAACAGTCCAACTCTTTCTCAAATCTCACTAAGAGTAACCTAAAGAGCTTCGACCGGCCTGTGCAATCATAAAACGTCTGGACAGAGGGAGTGATAAAGAGAAGTTTCGATGAGAAATGAAAGCGTCGGATAATCCTGCGACATATTATATCGCTGTGGAAGTCAGGGGAAATAAAAGACATGCACATGCTTGCATGCATGAACACACACAGACACAGAGAAACCCACACACTCCTCGTCTCTCTCTCTAAAACACCCAGAGGGCAAGTCTGGTTCACAATCTGCAGCACAAACTGTCTCTGAGTACAGTGACACAGACAGGAGCTTTACCTCAGGTCCTGGCCGTTGTCGTCGGACGCCACGTCATCAATATGAACCTGGTCACATTCCTGGGAAAAGAAAAAGAAGAGCGGATATATGAAGGGATGGATTTCAGAGCGGAGCGCTGCACAGGCAGGTCTCTTCTCTTTTAGAGGAGCCTACAGGAATAAAAAATGGCTCAAATAAAAGACGAGGAAGGAGGAAATAAGGTGTCAGGACACGGGACAGCGAGGCGCCGCAGATACAGGACTGTCAACATCGCCATGAGACTCAAGTTTAACCACGCAGTAAATTCAAGTCCAGTAAATCATGGGTCCGATCTTTTGGTTATGAGGAATAACTTTGAAGAAAAGCCTATTGTTTATGACAAGCACAACTGTGTACATGTTGTTTCTGTCTGTTGGGCTTAAGTGCAACAAACCGACTGAGCCACGGGGATTAAAACCTCTCTGAAGCTCGAGTACGCAGCCAAGACCAAAACACCTTCAGCAAAATGCAGCTAAACCAGAAACTTCAAAACAAAGACGTGATTTAAAGAACAGAAACAAAGACGAGGAGCTTAAATCCACCTTCCAATTATAAAAAAACAAGCACACGGCCGTCTCGTGAAAAAGAAAATCTTCTCTCTTTTAAATACACAAACACACACGTTCGCAGGAAACCAGACAGCTAGTATAAGTTCAGTTTGTCACGTGCTGACCCGGGACAGTCAGGGTCTCCTATCACCTTTCAGTCGTCTTGAACCAGATGGAGACGCTACCTCATCTTCCCCTCCATCTCCAACATAACTCAAGTCTCAGGGGCTTTAACCCAACTCCCACTCAGGTGCCATCCACCCACACAGAGCTGCTACAACCGACCAGACGATCCAGTCAGTGTGATCCTTTCAGCTCAACTGTTACTGCAAAAAAATATTCATCATTTCAGACGTGTTTCCTGTCTTTCTCTCTGTTATTACCTGAAAAATAAAAATAAACCAGCAGCGGAAAGTCTCAGATGCCACAAAGTGTTATGAAACAAAAAGAGTTAGTGATCCAAACCAGTCCAAACTCTTTGTAAACAAGTCCTCTAACACATGAGTACTCGCACTTCAGTGAAAATCTGAATTCATCCCAAGAGACGAAGAAAAAACGGTTCAGATGAGGCAAATCTGGGCCGATAAGATCAGAGTCCTTCTCGCTCTAGTTAAAACCTGGAAGCACATTTTTTGGGGTTGATTCAGTTTGTCGCTGATTTGTTTTTGGAAGTGCAAAGAGAAATAAAACAGGAACATCTACTCCAGATAGAGGCAAGGACAGGTTTTCAGCATCTTTCAGCAGGTAGAAGGAAAAATTAAGAAAAATAAAGCTGCTGAGAATGTATCTGATGAAGTAATGTGAGATGATGTTAACATAAGATGAAGTTTTACTCTTTAATTTTAATTTACTTTACTTCCGTGATCAAAAAGTAACAGAGACATTGTTCCTTCCGTCATAATAAAGTCATTTAAACAGCATATTGTTTGTTGTTTTAAGAGCAAAAAAAAAAAACTTCAGTATATACGTCATGTCCAGCCCACCTGCTGCTTTGCTACACCAGGGGCTTCTCGCTCCAGGGCTGCAGCTGGACATTACTGCTCTGAGTGTGATGACCTCAGATGACCGCTGAGGGAATATGGTCAAACTATACACTGAGTAAGTCTGAAACTTCAACAGAAATGCACCTGGTTTACAAAGCTTTAGTCTGAGGGTTGTTTACGTGAAGACTTAAGAGTGAGTCCTGCATAAATATTAATATTCTGCTTGTAGTAGGGCTGCACGAAAGTGCGATTTTTGATTGTGAATTTTTTCTATCATCTCTCAAAACAAAACTTCTGAAAACGATGTAGTGCATATGCCAAGCCAGTAAGTGGTGCTGTAACGCTGCAGAGGAAATGTACAAAAGACAGAAGAAGAGTACAGAGCATGAGTATAAAGGTTGTTTTGGCCGGACATGTGCAGGCGGTGACATTTTTTTTTTTTTGTAGGATGGTGGGGAAAGTCCCGCCTCCTTCGCCTCTGACTGGCTAGAAAAGCTGGAAACGTCATCACACGCTCAAGCCAAACGTGGGCTGTCGGTTCTGTACATCAAACAAAACATAACAGAACATTATTGCACTTCTGGATCTCCTAACCCTAACCTGACAGACGATGACGTTCGCTGTGTGTCACATGATCGTTTCCAGAGATGCAGATAGACATCCACATGGAGATGAAATGGTCGTTGTTTACAGATTAACACACTCTATGACCCGTTTTTTAAAAAGCACTGTTTACAGTCACCTGAAACGCCATTTCCATGTGGATGAAACGCCAATACGACAAAAACTTTTGTGTTTCCTCCTGAATTCGTTTCTGTGGTGACGGACTTTGCAGCGGGGAGTGGTTTACTCTTCATCTAAAACTGTGAAGTCGTAACAATTCAACACGACTGACTTGCTCTTGTCCTATTTAACCACGAAACTATCGCCTTCTACTGCAAACGCCATGTTTGTTTACACTGGTGTGTGTGGGAACTGGGGAGCGCTCCCCTACAGGCCTGGAGGCGCGAGACATGATAGAGGAAAATTGATTTGAGGATTTTAATTTTTTTTAACATCAAACAATCTAATTACAATTTAAAATCGGTTAATCGTGCAGCCCTAGAATGTATAAGTTATCTTTAGTATGTACTGGGATTCAGCTGACACACAGGCTCCCGTAGCAGAATCTATTTGAGTTTGGAACATCTATATTAGTAGCATGGAGCCGTATGACTTAACTTAGACATACAAATTAAACTCTGCAGCCTCCTGATGGTAACACAGATACGACAGCAGCAACAACACTCATAGCCACTCATGTAGGAGTATCTGCTGACAAGGGAAGGACAAGATAATTGTACCCTGAGATTTAAGAGTGGTTGTCAGCCCCTCTGTGGCCGACTGCGTCAGAGATTTACTGAGCCCCTACAACAAAAGAAAGGATAAGAAGCGGCTTTGCAAATGGCTTTGTTGGCTCCTTTCCCTTCTCTCGGCTTGTTCCTCCTCCCATTTGACTAATTTTCCTCTCGGATACACAGACACACACCTATAATTAGGGCACAATGTGTACTTGTTCTCCCTCAACGTCCCTCTCTAATCTTTTTTTTTTCTTCAGGAATGCAGGCCGAGAAACTTTTCACTCACTAACAGGTAGTAAAACCGTTTTTTAGGGAGTTTTTCTCAGAGATTGCACCGATATGTCCATGTTAGCTGTTGTGTTTTTGTGAGCAGCAGGAAAAAAGTCCAACATTTATGCCAGTAGTTGAACCCCTTATTTAAATATTATTGCTCATCTGAGGAGGGCAAATTGTTAGGAAAATGCTGTAGTAAGGACTAATGATTAAACAGGAGAGACGTGTGTGAGCGGATTTCTACAATGACTAGCACTGTGCTTTATGCCAAGTCAAAAAAGAGGTCTAAAATGTCAAACTTCTTGCTTGGCTGCTGCTGCAAAGGTTTTCTGCCAATGAATTTGCCAGTTTATGCCATTAGATATGCTCCCTCTGCTGCTGCTGCTATTTTACAGCTCAGTGGGAAAAAATCTAAGTTTAGCATTAATTGCAAGAAAATGTAGATGCAAAGCAAAGAAACAGTAGAGTTTAAGAGGGAATAAAGATAAAAAAAGAGGTTTTTATTGTGCAGTTTTCTAAACTCACCTCCAGGTCATTAAAAAAGAGTCTGGAGTCGGCAAGGTTGAAGATCATCTCCTCCATCCACAAACCAAGAGACACAGCTTTAGAGGAGTCCTGTGAACACACACAGAAAAAAAAGACCAAAAAAAGAGTCAAATACACACATCATAAATCTTAACTTTGACTCTAACAGCAAATAAGGTTTCTTTCTTCCTCCTTCTGCAATCTCTCAACACTTTTTTCTACCTCCCATCAATCAAACGTGTGTCCCGGTGCGGATGTACAGTTCACTTAATGTGTTTCTGTCTCCAGGCTTGTGTAGTCGATATACGCCGTGGTAACATGTTTCTCCTCGGGCACAGAAAAGACTCCTATCTCTCCATCAACCAGAACCAGAAACCTCAGCTTGTTTTTTGACCTAGTTCATAGGAATGATGTCAGATCACAGTCTTAATCGCTTCAGGAGTTGCACCCTTACGGCGAGTGCTATCAGTTCATAAATAATCAAATCCGAAGCTCAGGCACAGACTGATGGTTTCACAGGTTCGGTATTTAGAAAATAATTAGTTCAATCCGATTTATTAAAGATCATAACTCTTGCAATTATTCTGGTCTTGTCAGCGCTGCCGCCTTCTTGTCTCTCCTTCGCTCACTTCCTCTGCGAGCTCATCATCTGGAGTGACATGAACAGGTTTTAGAGAGAGCCAAGTCTGAATATTTATCTGTCAGTCAAAGTCTCGGCTGATTCTTATCGTCTGTACCTCCTTTACTCAGACACAGCACATTTTAAACATTTAATCCAATAAATCTCTTGGTGTTAAACAGTTCAGGACGTTACTCAAAGTCAGGGGATCACCAGAGCCAGCAGGGGTCCATCCTGTTCAAACTAGGGCTGCACGATTAATTGATTTTTAATCAGAATCAGATTATTTGATTATGATGATGTTAAAAAAAATTAAAATCATCAAATCGATTTTCCTCTCTATCATGTCTCACGCCTCAAGGCCACCGTAGGCTGACCCTTCCTGCGGGAGCGCTCCCCAGTTCTCACACACACTGGTGTAAACAAACATGGCGGCTGCAGAAGAAGGTGATAATTTTGTGGCTTAATAGGACAAGAGCGAGTCAGTCATGTGGAATTGGTACAGATTCGCACGAATTCAGGAGTAAACGCAAATATTTTTTGTCTTATCGGTGTTTCATCCTCACGAAAATGGCGTTTCAGGTGACTGTAACGGTACTTTTTGAAAACAGGTCAGAGAGTGAATAAATCTGTAAACGACGACCATTTCATCTCCGTATGGATGTCTATCTGCATCTCTTGAGACTACCCTACATCATTTTCAATGGTTTCGTATTGAGAGATGATAGAAAAACTTTTCATCTTTAAAGTGAAGTTTGGTGAAGTTGTCACTGAATAAAAAATTGAAATCAAAAATCCACTTTTCAGAGAAATAAAAAAAATCGGGATTTCATTTTTGGCTAAAATCGTGCAGCCCTATTCTGTTTATAAGCAAAGAAGTCTTTGTTTGACTCTAAAGACAAAAGTGTGCATCTAGTCGACTCAGTTATCAAATATTGCAACCCTCACTATTCAACACCAGAATTACGAGAGGCTCAGAGAAATTATGAACAACTTTATTATTATTATTATAGACTTGAAATGTCGTATGTTCAGTCAAAGTTGTAGAGATCTGGTTAACAGTGCTGTGATGCTCTATAACAGGGGTGTAAACAGGCTCAGATGATAAATGGAAAAATGTATTATGGTGCGGTTTGGCAGTGTTTTAAATCAGGACATGGAGATGAAGTTTAACGTTGGCTTTCTCTGGTTAAACTGTCATATAACCATAAAGGAGGACCAAAAGCTGGTGGTGCTAGCTCTGCTAATGCTAGCCTCACACTTTAAACTAATTTGACCTTGTTTTATTCATTAATCTATGATTATTATCTAGGATTAATCTAGATCATTAATCTCATCCAGCTTCAGTTTTTCCCTCTACTTCATGGAAAATAACATAATACTCTAACACTGATGTCAACTCTGGTTTTTAATAAGAAAATTATAAATCATCACCTGCAAAAAAACACATAAATTATGAGATGTGGGTAGCCTGGCTGTCTTACAGCGTGGGTGTGTTGTTTGAGACTACAAAGGCAGGTGTGTGTTTACTTCTATGTGTGTGTGAGTGTGTGTGTGTGAGTTTTGATGGCAGCGCTGGCTCGTCTTTGGCAGCCAGACAGCAGAAGAGGAGCGGAGTCAGCCAAAGGTGAATGGTAGATGAATGTGTCTGAAATGACAGCCTGAGCTGTCTTCTGGCTTTAAAACTGGTCTGAATGGGCTTGATGACACAAGTGGGGTAAATGATGACATTTACAAAATAACACCCTCAAAAAAAAAGAAGAAAAGGTAATTAAGGACGAAGGGCGGCAAGAGTTCAACGTGGAAGGAAACTGGCCAAAAGAGGAAGATATGAATAGAAAGGGTGAAGGAGGAGGCATTAAAGGCTTAAGAAAGGATTGTTCTGCTTCCCTTATAATTGAAATAATTATCTGTAATCACCGCCCTTCAAAATAAAAGCCTCCTCCCGATAATCCTAGACAGGAATTCAAGAGGAACGCCAAAGAAAAGGGGCAAAAAAAAGACAAAAAAGCCTATAAAGAATTGAATTCCCACCTGTACTCTTATACAGGAGGGTGTTTGATATGAAAGACAGAGGTTTAGGAAAGAAAATTCTCACACTGTGGAGGACAGAGAGGGCTGCCGTATGATAGATGAGACAATGGGAGAGCGGTTCAGGGGAGGGAAACGACTCTTCATGTGGATCTCTGCCTTTCAACACACCCATTACTCTTTCCTGCAGACCGGGCCTGGACTTGTCTTTATGTATGGGGCCAAACATTTGTTTATGATAAGAGTTAATAGACTGACTCTGACAGGAAGATCCTGAGCTGGTAAAAGTAGACACACGAGGAGATGATTCATAAAAGGAAAAAAAGATGTAAGACGGCGGTCTAGGTGAGATAAGCTGGCTGCAGATTTTGGATGGAGGGGTGTTAGGAGCTTGTAAGTCGTCTCGGTGTTTTGGATTGTTAATCTGTTTTTCTGCCGTCACTCATGTAATTCCTCTGCTGCATGTCTGAGTTTTGATGTCAGAGTCTGTCCAACTGAGCTTCCCTGGATCCAGCAGCGGGGTGTTGGGGTGGTGGGAGGAATCAGGAATTTTTGGCACATGAGTCACATTTCAACACATCCACTCTTTCGCTCCCTCTCTCCCTCTCTCTCTCTTTCTTTCTTTCTCCCTTGTTTCTCTTTTTGACCCCCTCTCCATGGCAGGAAAGAAAGAAAAAGAAACACCACCGGGAAGGGGGAACTGAACCAAACAGAAACGCTGCTCTCAAACTCCCATCAGCCTTGTGTCAACCCGCAGGGGGACCGTGAGAATTCAAAACACACATCCCTGGCCAAAACCAAGAAACGCACCGCTGTCCGCCCCTCGTCAGCTGCCTGTCTTGTTATGTAAAGGTCCCCGCTGGCTGTCAATCACGCCGCAGGAGGCCGGGGAAGCTAAACAACCCCGGTGCACAGTGAAAAGAAACAAGAGGGCAGGAAGGCAAAACAGTCAGCGTGTGAAAATGCGCAGGGATGAGACCCAAAGGTGGTGGACTCGAGAACCTTTGCCTGTTATTAAAATAAGCACCGAGACAAAGGGCGATCTGGCCGAAGCAGCATCACACCGGTTTGTTTTTTGTTCCAGCTTTGCCTGCGTACGGTGCAAAAACAAACTGTTGTTACAGCGTGATGACCAACAGCACGTTCTCCCTCTTACAGTAAATGACAAAGGGAGGGGTCGTATCAGCGTACCTTGCCAAAGCGTGAGGAGAAAGTTCCCGTGAGGAGCGAGTGGAAAATGATGATGGTTTCATCCAGGTCCCAGATAAACACACGCTGCAGTGAAATAACAGAAATGTAATGTTAACCTCATGGAAGTTTATGTGTGTGTGTAAGTGTGTAAGTGAGAGAGAGAGAGAGAGAGAGAGAGGGAAAGACAAATATTTTACAGAAAGACAGTGTGAGTGTGTGTTTACCTCGATATCAGAGTCCAGAGGTGGTGCGGGGTCATTCACTCGTTTTCTTCCCCTTAGCTTTCCATCTGACCCCCTCCGTGTCGGGACCCCCTCCTCTTTACCTGGGGTAGGGGGACTGGGTGGCGGGTGGTACTCTCCTAAAACACACACGTTGATACCGCAGAGATCAGACTTTGATTTTCTGAATAAAGAGAAAATCAGCAGGTTAAAGCTCAAGAAGAAAGCTTTAAAAAAAATCATCTTGTTTCGGCAGATTCAGACCGAGACCATTATAATAATCATTCATATTTCTGGGGATCACACGGCGGTGAACTGTAAGATTCCTGCTTCGAATCCCAGCTGGATCCTTCCTGTACGGAGTTTTATGTCCTTCCTGTGGACGCGTGGGCTCTTAACGGTTTCTCAGACTTCCACCCACAGTCCTCAAACATGCTTGTCAGGTTGATTGCTCACTCTGAACCGTCTGGTTGTCTATCCATATGTTGGCCCTGTGACAGACTGGTGACCTGTACAGACTCCAGCCCACTCACGATCCTGATTAAGATAAGTGGGATAAATACTGGTTTTCCCATGGCGTTCCTCAAGGGTCCGTTCTCAGCCCACTTTTGTTTTCTGCTATTTTTGCAGTTGCCCATGCTTAGTGCGGCTTTTTTCATGAGATCCAGTGCAGTACAGTACAGTCAGTATTAATAAGTAAATTTAATAAGTAAATAAAGTCCCACTCCAATTGTTTTTTTTTTTACTACTTGAAGTGTTATCAGTGGTCTATAAATTGTGACTATGAAGTGCCTTGAAAAAGTATTCATACCCCTTTAACTTTTTCACATTTTGTCACTCTACAACCACAAACTTAAAAGTATTTTATTGAGATTTTTTGTCATAGACCAAAGTAGCACAAAATTGTGAAGTGGAACGAAAATGGCACATAATTTTCAAAAATTTAAAAATATAAAAATGTAAAGAGTGTGGCGTGCATTTGTATTCAGCCTCCCTTGTGTCAATATGGTTCAGATGAAAGAATATTTATGTATTAGAATGGCCAAGTCAAATCCAGATGTACATCCCTTTAAGCATCTGTGGCAAGACTTGAAAATTGCTGTTCAGACGCTCTCCATCCAGTCTGGCTAAGCTTGAGCTATTTTACAAAGAGGAATGGGGGAAAATTTTAGTCTCTAGATGTGCAAAGCTTGTAGAGACATACCCCAAAAGACTTGCAGCTGTAATTGCGGTGAAAGGTGGCTCTACAAAGTATTGACACAGGGGGGCTGAATATAAATGTTAAAAGTTTGTGGTTGTAGAGTAACAAAATGTGAAAAAGTTCAAGGGGTATGAAGACTTTTTCAAGGCACTGCAAGAGCTATTCAGCTTAGTTAATATCATGATTAACTTCCTTACAAGAATTGCAATCTGCTAACACTGACACTTGTTCTGCGATTGTCCTCTCTGTTTCTTAGAGTCTGGCCTGCATAGCTGGGCTCAGGGGGCGGAGCTTGGATTTGTGACATAGGAAATCTCACTGTGATTTAAATGCAGAAATACTCAGAAATGCAATTTCGCACTTATTTTTCTCATGATATGTTCTGTAGCATCAGAAAAATGCCATATGAACATGTAGACAACAAGAAAAACATGATGATTTAGCTTGAATAAAAGTCCAGGTTTTTGTTGTTCCTTACCTGTGTGTGACTCTGGGCTGTGATTGGGCAGCATGACAGGGTGTTCTGCATGCGGGTAGGTTAACGGAGCTGTGATGGCAGCAGGGCTGATGTTGCTTCCAGTAAGGTAGGGGCTGTTGTAGTGATGTGTGTTATAATACGGGGAGTACTGACTCTGACTGTAGCTTGTGTACGCTGGAAAGTCCTAGAGCGATTCAAATGAGGACTCTAATTAGTCAGTGTCATCAAAATATGAACATTTCCATCCAAAACTATGGTGACTAACGTACAACAAGGCCAGACTGAGTCATTTCAAACAGCTTTAATAGAAACGTCACTCGCTTGATTGCTATAGTGTAATATGTAAACATTCTTGCTGCCCATAAACAGCTGTTTTTCATCGAGTAAACAGCTGAGATTTGCAGTTGAGATCCCCTCTTTACTCACTTGTTGGGTAGGGTTGAATGGGGTTGAACTTGAAATTGCATGTGTTCCCTGAAAAATTCCAGATGAAATTCCACCACCTGAGAAAAAAAGACGGTAAAGACAGTGATCAGACTTCCAGGTAATGACGGATCACACAGGATAGAGAACAATTAACAAGTGTAAACCATATTCATTTCACAGAATCCAATCTCAGCTGTGAAACTGGTGTGCAGCGGAAGAAATGAGCAGTAAACTTTAACTCCTATATCTCGATGACAGCTCGGTGCTGCGGGGGCTGAGAGAGAAATTTATGTTTGACATAACAATACAGGTGGGAAAGTCTGCGGCTCTGGGAATCTGCTCAGTCTACTCAACACAAGTTAGGAATGCCTTTCTCTGAGCAACATTATCCTGAGATTGATGCTGAGCTTTATCTAATATTTGCAAGCCTTATTAATTACATGGAATGCAATATATCATGTACTTAACTGCAGTTCATTTACTGTAACCACCACGGGGTAGTATCTTTTATTCAGGCTCTAGTTTTTCAGATAGCTTGATGTATAAAAGGTTATTTATGAGAATTAAAAAAAGGGGAAATTGAAAAACGTCTCAAGTTTTACCAGCTCAAAGAGGAAAAATGAGCAACGGAGGCCTTGATGATATAAACCAAAGGTACAGCAGAAAATGCAGATCGCTCAGTCAACACGTGTTGATAAATTCAACCCAAAAACACAAATATGAACCTCCTACTGAGTAATTTCTACTCACAATATCCATAAAGTTAAGCACGCTTGGCCTTTCTCAGAAGATTCGTATTATTGGTAACAGAAGTGCAGAGGGTAAATGTGAAAAGTGAAGGTTCGGGGACCAACTTTGAGTTAGACCATAAAATAGATGTTGCTGACCATCATTGTGGATCATTCAGACAAAATCAGACTATTTACTTAAAGTATATAAATACATACAGTCACAATGATAATTAAAAGTGATAGTTTAGGGGTAATTTTAGGGCTGTAAAGTCCTAAAATAAGATGTTCCTTTATTAGTCCCATAGAGGGAAATTCCAAAATTACAGCAGCATAGAATAGATACAAAAAGACAAAAATTAGAAGATAAAGAAACTAAGTTAAACAGGATATGTGCATGCGTCATATTTACATCTGTACTTGAATTTGCTAGTCAACTGGTCGACTTATTGGTCGATAGTTGCTGAGTTGACCAAAATTCTGATTGGTCGACTCGATTTTTTTCGATTTTTTAACGAGCGTCCACGTTAATCAACGTCTGGTGGTTTGCTGAATATTTATTTTTATTTTGAACGTTTCAAGATTCATCGTTTTTAATTACCTTCTTGGGCTGATATTGGTATATTTTTACCGTGCCAAGCCGCGCCCCACTGTGCCGCGTTGTCCCCCGCCGCAAAAGGGTATGCCGTCAGAGTCAGAAAATCCCCCACAGTAGTTGATTTTTGGTCGAAAACTCAGGTGTGACGTCATTTTCAGCTCTGACATCTGACTTCCGAGGTAACTCAAACGCGGCATTAGTTGGTTGGTTGGTTGATTACAGCCCTACTTTTTCATCTGATAAGAAGCTAACCTGTTTGTTTTGTCTGCTAGTTTCGCCCTCGCCTCTGACACGGCCTGAGCCCTTCCTGAAATACACCTTTACTCCCTTCATCAGTCTGCTACTGCTCCTTTTTGCTCCTTGTTATTTCTTCTCCTCTCTACAGTGCATGACAAACAGGAGAGTCATGACTCAACAGAGGAACCACACACACAAAAAAAACCCCTCCCTGGACAACACAACAATCTTCAAAGCAGCTAAAGGAAAAATACAGGAGGTCTCTCTCTGGAGTAAACATCAAAAATCTCCCATAGTCCCCATTTGGTTTGAGTTGTACACACAGTATACTGTACAGTACGAGTGTTTGGAGGTTTCTCTGCGGTGTGTGTGTGCGCCTGTGTGTGCGTGCTTGTGTATTGTGTACAGTATAATGGATGACATGGAAACATTCTGAAGTCCAACAAACATTTGGTTGTTGTGGCAGTTTATTACCGTTTGAAGTTTGCAGTTAATGATTTATGCATAAAAACATTCAAACAAATTTATTTTGTTTAGGAACAGTGTCTTTCAAACTCAAACGGCAGTTTGTTCAAAAATGTTTGTTGGTCCAACAGGCGGGCTTTGACAGAGCAGTCATCGAAGGCTCTGCGTTTTGTACGAGGTTTGAGTCCACATGAATATTTACATTCCTGTATAATGTCTGACATCTGAATATTTTCTTTAAAGAGGAAGTGATAGAAAAACTAGCGCAGAAGCAGGAGGACTATCCTGCTGTATCTTACGACTATTAGTGACGGAGGTAAGGAGCGAAGGTCATGAGGTGATTTTTTTTTTATCGCTCTGCCATGTAAAAGGATGTTGAGCTGATGTTTGTCTGACTATAAGTGCAAACTCCAGAGGTGTCTCCATGAAACAGTTGAATCAGACGTACTAAACCCTGGGTTCGAACCAGTTAACCCCAATTTCAATCAGCCGTGAGAAAAAGTAACCGGAAAGATCTGTGAAATCTCCACACAGGAAAAAACAGAAGAACAAGGAGCTCTAAGAAAGGTACAAACCAGGATTGTTCCAAAACAACTCATTTCCTTGTTGTTTGTGGGACATTTGAATTCCAGCTCTCTGACGAGTCAAAAAGGCACAAAACCACTCAGAAAAACAGTCAAAACTCAGCAGAGTTATTCTAACACAGAATCACAGAGCCAGCCGGCAGGTAAATGATGTCAAATCAGGTTTCTGAGTGTGGTTAATGTTAGTGGCGCTGGCACCACAAGCTGTGGGTCATCCTCACAGGTTAGAGCTTGGCTTTGTTTAAGTGGACATACACAACTTTATCTCCATTCTTTAAAATCACAACAGTCCCAAACCACTCCATACTGCATGATACCATCTGTCACCTGAGCTTGACTGATTGGCTTTATTGACGCTTTCATGCTGCGCTCGCACTGATCCAATCAAAAACAGATACAAGATTAAAAAACTGAAAACCTGATGTCTCCTGTAACATCGTCAGTGCTTACACGGACAACGTTTCTCAAGATAAAAACCTCAGAAGAAAACGTCTTTAGATCAGAATTATCTTGGCGTAAAGTTAGTACCTCAAAACATGTCAACTAGAGAGGAAGTCTTATTTGTTGATATAGTAAATAGATGCTATGACTAAATATTGTCCCCTTGTCATGTTGCATTTTGTTAATTAAGTTTTTTCCTGGTGTTGTTTATTTAAGTGCTTTCTGTGTATTTTCTTGAGTGTTCCTGTTCCCCTGTAGTCCTGTCTTGTTAGTTTTCAGTTTGTGTCTGACCCTGTTTCCCTCTTGTTCTCTGTGTTTTATTCTTTATATCATGTTCGGGTTTCCTGTTTTATTTTGTAGTAGTTTATTCCCTTTTTTTAGTCTTGTTTTCCTTCCTCAGTTTTCCCTCCTCTGTAGTTGTCCTCACCTGTGTCTCAGTGTCTCACCTGCCTCTCGTTGCTCGTTTCCCTGTGTGTATATATAGTCTCTGTCTTCCCCTCTATCCTTGTTGGTTCATTGTGTGTATGAAGATGTGTATGCTTGTGTCCCCTGTTGCTCCCTGTGATTTTTGTGGATTTTGCCTTTTGGAATTTCTTTGTTTAACCCTGCACGTCGTGATACCGATTTTCTAAAGAATTAGGCCGGTATTTGAAAAACAACTGGATACTGTTTGACGCAGCTCAGCAAAGGTCTCGTCTCCAGCTCATCTGTTGGTTGTTGAGTCTCTGTTTTGTCTGTCTTTCGTCTCATCCATCCAGTGGAAACAATATCATCCCTTTCTGCAACTTTAAACCTGTTCACCCCTCCGTATAACGCACCTTAACCTCTCCCCTCGCACACACAGGGTCAATTTCACGCTGCTTTCAAAGCCATAAAGTCGCACTGAGCGAGTCATGCTTTGGGCGCCGGATGACTGAGGAATGTGTACAGCTCTGATAGACACACACACACACTCACACACACTCACAGCCATGCGTGGGCAGAGAGCTACACACACTCCCAGACAAACCTCCTCTTCAGCTTTTGTTTTTCAGTCCAGACCCTGTGCCCATCTCACGTTTTACTCCTTTTTTTTAAGAATCTCTCTCTCATTCTTTGTCCACGTTTTCTCACTCGTGTTTTTTTTGTGTCAGTCACAAGCGCTCGCATGTTGTGTTGTTGGTCTGAGTGGAGAAAGGGGGCCTGACCCCGAGAAAAAAGGAGGGGTGAGGAGACTTTTGACGCCAGGAGTCCAGACCGCAGCTAATGGAGAACAGGTGTGGCCCGAGAGGAGGAGAGGAAAAGAGAGAAAGATGAGGAAAGAGGAGAGGAGAGGAAGGATGGATGCTCCTCCCTGTATGTGTGTGTAAGTGTGTGTAGAGACTGACCGTGTGTGTGCGAGTAGCTGTAGAGACTCTGACTCGGAGGGGTGCTGCTGAAGTTGGAGTATCCCAGTAGTCCCGTCTGTCCTGGAGAGTGACTCAGGCCGTCTTCTGTTTTAATGTCTAAACGATAGATCGGTGGAAAACTGTTTGGTCTCAGGTGACCACAAAGCATCATGAACGTTTCATACAAAGAGGACGTATTTATAAATAACTACTTTAGTTTTCTGTGTTAAAATCAGAGTCAGGTTGTTGGTTTTTTCGTGAACACAGTCAAAGAACTTGAGCTTGGCTTTTCAGAGACACAAAAACACACATCTGTGCAGCTAAAAACAAATCAGTAAATTTACACAGAATTACAAAGAAAAACACACATGCTGATTTATTACTACATATATGTAAGAGAATAAATATAAAAGCATTGGAGGCAGCATGGCCATAATGCAGATTTTTTTTGCTTTGTTAAAATCCTTTCAGCCTTTCTATGCTTTAAATCTTTTATACTGTTTTACTGGGTTTCTTATACCTGTCGCACAAACCCATAATCACCATTACACGACTGCTAGAGGCAAATTTCTTACAAGTGCAATAAATATTCTAAATGAACAAATTTCAAGACAGTCCTATAATGACAGATGATGATATCTAACCAGCTGAACAATACAAAATGTGTCTAACAGGTTAAAGTGCTGGATAAATGGTTTTTCTGCCACCGTAGGGAGTCATAAGGGGGGAACCGTGAGTCCAAATGGAAGGGAAGTCTGTTAATAGCGCTGCGTATTTTTTTTAATTAACAAGATGGTATTTTGCGCCATCAATATGATAATGATCCTGCCTCTAAGGACAAAATTCATCCTGCCTCTAGTCAGGATGAGAATCGATAACCGATTCTTTTTTTAGAACCAGTTCCCAGTGATTCGATTCCTAAGAATTGGAATCGTCTGCCTCCTTGACGATTCTGCTTATCGGTTCCTCTTACGTCTCTATGTGTGATGACGTAGTACACGAGAATTGTGTTCTTTAAGGTGACAAAAGCACTCCAGAGTTTGGCTGTATCTCAAACGAAAAGATGATACCGGGGCGACTTGCAACACTTGCAAACCTTTAATTTTGTCAAAGAGGGGGAAATACTTCAAATATGCGGAAACATTTGTCCACCCAGCATGCAATTAATTTGCTCAATTCTTAACAACTCCCATCCCTGTCCTCTAGTACAGATAAAGAGGATTAAGATCAGGGTTTGATATTGCCATGACAACAGAGCAACGCCATACACAGCTTCTGTTGTATTTGGGATCCTGAAAGAGTGTCTTATATCTTCATCCACACGTTAACCAGATAAAGTAATACAAAGTGCAACGTTTGTGCTTATCTGTTCGCTCACATACATCGGTGACGTTGCTGACTGTGATTTTATTTAACTCACACATTCACACAAATCCATATAATTTGATGTTTGCGTCGACTTACTGTAGGACGGCATGCTGTAGCCTTGCGTGTGGTGAGTATACGGTGCGTATGGCCCTGCTGGCTGCAAGGTGGGGCTGTACTGAGTCTGTCCATACGCAGCCATGACACCTCTCCTCTGTCAGCTGATCTTCAAGAAGGAAGAAATAATGAGGAAACTTGGAGGGCAAGTTCTGCTTCTCTTAATACAGGACAACATAACAGGTGTTTTGTCCATTTATTTTTTTCAGGAAGAGCATGAGGAAGAAAATACACGACTGTTAGAGACATGCAAATACGTCAAACCAAGAGGGTTTTAATTAAATCTACTGAAGGAACAAAGAACATGACTGTAGAAAGAGACGGTTTGGTTTTCTGTAACTTTAAAGTCTGCACTGACAGGAGAAACTTTAAATTTATAGGAAAAGAAAAAATAAACAACTCAAAAGCTGAATGAAAGTATGATAAAAAATAAATAATAAAACTATTAGACTCACCTGCAGGAGTAATGAGAGTTTAACTAGACAGTAAAAAGCTCTGCGAATGAAAGGAGAACAGGTTCTGTAAGCGAGACAACATTTGATAAAATATGTGAGAATGTGCAGAATTAGGTCTAAATAACATAAAATCGCGATCTCGTTTAGTTGAACTATAATCAAACAAACATTTCTAACATGTTACGGTTATCAAATGACATTTTTCCCAAATAATCTTTGTGTAACTCCAAAAGAATTTTGTAAGACATAAGAGGACACACTCAATATCATACAAACATCGGAAAATTGACAATAAAAGTGCGTGTTTTTTTTTTCTAACTTCAAAGTTAAACCTGATGAGTCGCTTTTCACTTCAACCATTTTTTTTTACCCTTTTCTTTGTATTTTTGCTTTCTCACCTGCCTCTTTGGAGAGAGCTTTATCCTCTTTATCCCGTCACACTGCTGTTAGTCAGGTTCCTCTCCGGCTGTCAACTCTCCTGTGGAAACAATAGCAAACACACACCATCAGGACACAGGTATGCAGGTGACTGACACATGGAGACGCGCCTCAGGGTCGTGTTGCAGCAGGATGAAGAGGAGGAGGAGGAGATTTTTCTCATGAACACGGCTCAAGAGTTGGAAAAAGCTTATCAATACAAAGAAGATAAGAACTCGATAAATGTGGTTTTAACTCACACAGTTTCATCATCAGGGTCTCTTGGAAGTTTTTGTTGGGCAGCTTGTTTTTAAAGAAAATGCTGAGTCACTCTGTTATTTGGCACCAGCGCTGTATGTACTTTGTTTGGCTATGTAGAGGAAATAAACACGTAAAAAAAACAAGAACAAGCCTGGCTGTGAGCCCAAATTCAAAATAAGTATGTGGAGGTTTTGGTTTCGCAGTTCAGCAGAAATTCTGGCGTATGCTGAGTGATAAGACGAGACAATCGAGCTTTGATAAGGGCAGAGGATGATGGGTGTGGATAAATGTGCAGAGCTACTTTGAGGCAATATTGTATTTCTAATATTTTGCTGAAATCTGGTTAGGCTTATGTAGGGCTGAACGATGTTGGTCAAAAATAAAATCCTGGTTGTCATTTACAGATCTATGAACTCTCTGACCTGTTTTCAAAAAGTACCGTTTACAGTCACCTGAAACGCCATTACGATAAAAAACTTTAGCGTTTCCTCCTCAATTTGTTTCCGTGTGGACGAGTTGATCCCGCCTTCGAAACTGTGAAGTTGAACCAATTCATCACGACTGACTTGCTCTTGTCCTATTTGGCCACGAAATTAACACCTTCTTTTGCAAACGCCATGTTTGTTTACCCTGGTGTGTGGGAACTGGGGAGCCGCAAGACATGATAGAGAGGAAATTTTTTAACATCGTCATGATCAAATAACCCAATTATGATTTAAAATTGATTAATCGTGCAGCCCTAATCTGTATCCATTATTATAAACGAGTATTATTATTTATTTAAAATTCAGGCTTTGATCACAGATTGTAGCTTCATTTTTTTGTCATTTAGAAAAATGATAGAAGGATTAAAGGGTGGGGGGAGCAAAGGGGTTTAAAAGACAGGAGGGGATGGGAGGTCTCGGCTCAGTAAGCCTGGGGTCAAAGGTCAATGCCACTTGAATTAGTCTGAGCAGGAAGCTGAAGGAGGTCAGTCTGTCTGACAGCGGCTCATAAAGCAAACTCAGAAAAGTAGAAGTCCCTGCAAAACTTTTATTTCACGCTTGGACAGACGTACAAAGATACTCTCCAAACTTCTGTTTATTTTTGGACCCTTGTTACACGGTTCGTGCTTCGCTCTCTGTTTTCATATAAACGCAGTTATTGATGAACCAGCATGCAACAGTCTTGGGGGTTCTCTTGTATATTTTTTTTATTTTTCACAATCCTCCGTAGACTAAAGTCAACCAATAGTTTCTGAATTTAAAAAAACTACACAGTCCAAGTAAGGATAAATAACCTGAACGCCATCCAACACCTGTGAGATATATTTCTGATTGTACGCCAGGCTTTACTGCATCACATCGCTGGGACTCTGACGGCTGATCTGGAGAAAATTCCCTCAGCCAAGCTCCAAAAATCACTTGGAAAGCTCCGCAGTGGAGTGAAGTCAGGAATAACAAGATAAATATCCACGATTTTAAAATCAGAAGTTAAATGATCGACTGTCAACACATGGTCAGTTGTCATTCGAACAGAAATAAATCATACAACAATAAAAGAATAACATGCTTTTGGTTCAGTGTCGTGTTTGTGCTGCATGATGATGCACAACAGCCTGATCTCTTTCTCTTTTTCTCTGTCTCTCTGTCTTTGTTCTTATTGCTCATTTTGTTCCTGTCTCTCTCTCTCTCTCTTTGCCTCTGGGCCATTCCAATCTGGCAAAGCTGCAGCTAACTGCCCGACCCCTGACCTCGCTGACAACACGCCGACAGAGACAGATGACAGTCATGAGTTATAGGGGCAGCGAGGTTTTACAGCAGCCAAAGAGATGAAGGTGAAAGAGGAGGAAGAAAAAGAAGAAAAGTAAAAGCTGTCTGAGAAAAAGAGAGCAAAGTGACAGGAGCTGTGACAGACTGCTGATCAACAGGAGCTTCACCAAACCTCAGAGTGTCTTTATGTTGCTCTCATGTCATTCGGAGCAGAAAACAGATCTCACGCTGTGTCAGATCCAGCTGATGGAGCTGAACCCCTGGCTTTAAAAACACCCAGGACAGATCACACTGGGTTTTTTTTGAGAAAATGAATGTTATTCAGTCAAACATCCACCTGAGTTACTGACCATAAAATAAACTTGAATAAAACAGACGATTAAGTTCACATTTCAGGATGTGATTTACAGTTTATTATCGATCTTAACCTTCCTCCTGTGTTAGCTTTTACTACGCACCCACCATGTTAAGGGTCAGTGTCTTAAATCAGCTGTAAATTACAGTAAAAACATTTCTCTATCATCCAATTTTGTTCTCATCTCTAAGTTACCTTGTTAGGATTCATAGTTTTTGTTGTGGTCCTCACACAGACATCCATACTGAATTGATCTCACATGTCTGGACAAAGTCCAAAGTTGTTTTTTTTATGTAGGGAAAAACAGGCAAAATGAGAATTTCTTAAATCTCACATGATTAGAAGAGGATCTGACTGTCAGTGTGTTTCCTGACAGTGCACTTATCATTTCAGTTTTTGCTTTAATTATTAGATATTGATCTAACCAGGTCAACAGCGACACTAACAGGACAAGTGCCATAATATTAATAAGAGCATTTCATAATTTAGTTAATTAAATTTTTTTATTTTGTTGAAATAGAGGTTCCTGACAAAGTCAAAAAGTCTTGATGCCAAAAAGCTATTTTATGTTGTTTTTTTAAGCATTTAAAATCAAAAACAGGAGGGGGGTTATAGTGTTAAGGTCTATTAAAAAAGCAGGAAAAACACATTTGGAGGTTTTTCTAACTGGATTTTTTAGAAACAAAATGTTTTTTAAATCAAAATCAAATCCCTAAAAAATTGTAGTAAGATTTCTTTTTTTCTTATAAACTAAATATGAAGTCTGCAGTTTTATCTCAAGGGGTGCTCATGAAAGTCTTTGTTTTTTTCTGTGTTTTTGTTCCATGTTAGATGTGGCCCTGGTAGCCATCAGAGTCCCCGATCTGACCCTTATCGCAGGCAGACTGTGAAGCTCCAGAGAGCGACACTGATCTCTCAGCTCAGAGAAAAATAAGGAAAGTCGTGTTGTTCTTTGTACAACAGGGGAACAAAACCGAGAGCAACGCCTCTCGACTTCAGCTGCATCCCTGCAACAGTCCTGTGTGCACGCACGCAAACGCACGTACACACAGACCCGTGAAGTGTGTGTGATGGCAAAGGCACTTCCTGGTTCAGGGTGAGGCCTGGGAGGAGGGCGCACAAGGCCATGGGAACTGCAGGACACCGGAGGGAAGATGAGCGGAGCTCAGCAGAGATGTGGAGAGCCGAGAGCTGAAACTAAAGCTAAAACAAACCCAGCAGGGCCACAGGGGGCTGCGGGGCCACAAGGCCAGTCCCACCAGCTTCACCTGGGTCTCAGGGTTCTGCTAGACCACTGCTTCTTTCACGGATATCAAGTTCTAGCCTTTGTGCTGATGAATTACATCACAGGATGGTGTGCTGTGCTTTAAGCTGACCTGTTATCTGATACAGTTAAAAGAATACACACACAGTTAATGCAGATTTACCTGTTGTTACACTCAAGTGTTGAGTGAGGAAAACATGACAGGCTCAAACAGGATCCAGATGTGACAACTAGCTGCATTTAAGAGGAAGGCGTCGTACCCAAAACAAGCTTTCTTAATCCGTTCACACCTGAGGTAAAAGTTTCTACAGATTTTACAAGAACGAAAACCTAAAAAGGTTAAAAATCCAGCTGTCTTCAGGGGAGAAGAAGCAACAACTGTGAAGTTTAACACAATCATTAATCAAAGTACTGCAGACTAATTCTGCTCCAGTTTTGGTTTCTGCTAACCTTGTCAAAATATTTCTTTTAGCATTAAAAACGGAGTTAAGAAAAGGAGTGCAGGCCCTGTTTCAGAAAAATTTACAAGCGCTTTGTTTTGAGCCAGCTGACCTCTGAACACTCTGGATTTTTAGCAACTGTCATGGGAAGAGGGAGCTCCTTTACAAGCTCTGTGACTAAAAGATCCAACTACATGTGGCCAAGTACTGCAGTTCGATAAACTTGAGAACAATATCTCACCGCACAAACATGACAGCAGACACCAGATATTACTTTTCATGACTGTCAAAGCGCCCGATCATGAGTTACAGCGTTTTGTATCTGCAAATGTTTGTAAAACCCTGACCTAAAATAAAATCTGTGACTCAAAACATCAGCGTCTTCTACTTTCGATAATGCCAACAGAGTCAAAACTGAGTGACTCGAAACTTTTTCTACATCTTTCATTGGCTTTGTGTAATAAGACACTGGGGCTGTTGGTTTGTCAGGCTTTGCAGGATTCACAGCCAAGTAGGGATGGGCGATATGGGCTAAAAGACTTTCACGATCAGTTTTGCCATTCTGGCGATAACGATAAAAGTCCCGATTAAAAATATTCTAATTCCAATCTATATTTTTGACTTATTTTGTCTTGAAAACACCAGTTGGAAAAGTCAAATAAGATCTTTAACCACAAGTCTGAGTGTTAGGTTATGGAGAAAACTAATGCCATCAAACAAGTCACAAAGGAAATCCCTCATGTGGATCCTCGTTCAGTAACAAGCTGCTCAGAAACATCTCCTTCATTACCTTCGGCCATGTTTGTTCATGTCTCCAACTTGCATTTATCGCGTTTATCACGAGATGGCAAATATTTATCATGGAGGATTTTTCTGTGAACAATAATTTATCTCCCATCCCTGCTGTGAAGGCTGTGTGCCGTTTATCTCATCTACAATAATGAAAAGTTATTTGCATATTTCATGAGTGCAGTTTTAAAAATGCTCGCTGTGTCTGGTGGTCGTCCGGTCACTCGCTGCCGTGACCCCCTGATCCTCTGACCTCTTGTTGAAACATTGTGCTTCTCAATCAGTCGCTTGTCGAGGTGACTCGCTGGTCTGTAATCGTGCCATATGGGACCCCACCTGGAGCCCTCAATTTGGATAGCCTAGAAAAAGTGCCTCAGGCGAGGTGGGGGGTTGATTCATGCTGCACACAAACCCTCTCTCTCTTTCTCCCTCTCTCTGATAAAAGACACAGAACAAGGCCTCAGTATTTGGGTTTGTGTGACACTCTCAGAGAAACGTGGGTGCCATCTGCCAGCTACTGCTCTACTCTCTTACTGCATTTGGCACAAAACTGCAACCGTGCAGTACGAAGCACAAAGAACAGTGACACCATACTGTATTATATTTTGTTTTAAAGCTTTTTTGAGTGTTTTTATATTAACCAAAGTCAACAAATGCACGTTGACAGTTTGTTTCCAGCCATTTCTGAGAAAACAAACTCTGTCTTTATAAGTCAGACAGTACAGATACTTGATTGAGACTCAAAGTTCAAATAAATGATCACTGATTACAAACACCAACAATCTCCCCTGGATGTTTGGACTTTTACACTTTATATCTAAACTAAAAAGTTTGTCTAAAAGGACAAATTTTCTTTTTATACTGTTTATTTTTCTCTCGAGATTAACAGCTTAAAAATAGCAAAAAAGGGTTCAGTCTGTGGTTTTTCTAATGCCCATGGTTGTGTCCTTAAATGTCTGGTGTTTCGTTTCAGATTTAAAAATATAATATAGTTGTTTTTGTAAAATAAAAAGTGGGTACTATGTTCATTTTAGTTATGATCTTGACTTTTTACTTTCCTTCTTTTGTAGATCTAAATGATCTCATTTATTTCAGAACTGTCTGCTCAAGTAATGCCCAAATCTTTGAACTCACTTTCGTCAAACTGGCCAACTCTCTGGAAACCTCCTCCACTGTTGCCATGGTACAATATCGTCAAACAGCATATCTTCATCTAGAATGACCAAATTATAATGATACAGGGACCTGAGTGGTGTTAAGCGCCCCACTTATGGAGGCTGCAGCGGTTTGATTCCCTGCATGTGTACCCTAACTTTCTAATGCGCACATTTCTTGGCGCTCTACAGCCGTCCTAAGTTAATAACATTATTAATTATGACTCAGACAGTTTGGAAAGAAACAACAACAGATCAGGATATAACTGTTTGATAGGTTTTACCAAATCACCTAGTCTGAGCAGATCTTGTGTCTCTCCTGTTTCTCCTGCAGTGGGCTATCACAACAGCTCTATTATTAGCTGCATTTTACTGGTGCTAATCTGTTTACACTTGATACTCAACAACTCACTGATGTTGCCATGCCAAAGTCAATTAAGAGATTGTTTCTGTTTACACGCAGACAGCCGCCTCAGTCAGCAGAAACCCAGAGCAACAGTGGGTCGCTTTTGATGCTGTGAAAATGCTAATCTCACCCCTGAGCTGTCTTGTTTCTGTTGACTCCACAGACAGGAGTCTGACGTCTGTCAAAGTGACCCATCTCACCTAGCTTTCACACGGCCGGCGTGCTAACGTCTGCAGATCTAATGTTTACATCGTCAACCTAAAATGATGAGGAAACTTGGGCGACCTGTTTGGAAACCTGAACAATGAAGTCTCTGCAGTTTTTTTCCTCTAAACACACACACACACACACACACACACACACACACACACACACACACACACACACACACACACACACACACACCTGGCTTTTACTCTTTAACTGAAAGGGATTTAAAATTCAAATTGCGTAAGGACAGAACCGCTTTGAAAGAAACAGAAGTCACTCTCTGAGCAGCTCCAGTTAATCTCTGGCAGCGGGGGACCTGTTGCCGACTCTGTCTCCGCTGTGTAACTTTACCTCCCAGGCTTGGTGGCCTTTCCTTTCCACTTGACTAACTCCCTGCAACAAGGCCGCTTTAACGCCAGAAGACCCCCCCTTCCCTCCTCCTCTGCTCCCCCCCGTAATCAAAACCTCCTTATTTAACAATGCCACTGCTTTTATTTTCCAGTTCTCCCTCCAGCAAACCCTCACTGCTCCTTCCTAATTCTTTCTTTCGCTCCTCCTGGCTCCAGCCCTCGCGCTCACACTCCCGATAATATATCTAATAATCTCCTCTCTGTATTATCGCCAATGCTAAAAAGGACCACCTACTCCAAACCCAGGACTTTGACTCCCCCAGAACCAGTGCCCCGGGACGAGGGTCAGAGCGGGGGACAGCTGGCAGACCTCCCTGCAGTCTGGAGGAGCGGCTGTGGGGTTGAAGGACCACGCTGACCTCAGTCAGATGGTGGTCTGGCTCCCAGGTAAGAAAAAAAAAAACATCTGGTCCAGAGATGGGGAGAGTGGTCGCGCACACTCACTCACACACTCCAAATTGACGCACGCCTGACTGCATGAGTGCCCCTGCCTCCTCTAATGAACTCACACACACACACACACACACTCACACACACACACTGGCCACTTTATTAGTCATTAGGACAAAAAGGTTTGCCCTCCCATCAGTCTCATCAGCAGATACAGCAAACGGCCGCCCTAGTTGCTAACAGCTGGCCAGACGAAGCTCGCTGGTAGCTTAAACTCGCTGGCGACACAGACAGTCCGAGGTCCAATTACTTCTTTACTGTTAGATTTACTGTGCGAGCCTGAGTGTGTGTGTGTGTGTGCGAGACAGAAAAAGTGAGAGAGGAGGGAGTGATTTATACCTTTTTGGAGACACGAGAGTGGAGGGAAAAATGAGATAAGAAGGAAAGAAACTGAGAAAAAAATAGATTTGACCAAGAGAAGTGAAGCTGGAGAAAAATTCTGACATTTAAGAAAATAGTCCCCGAGCTGCAGCGAATTATTAAACTCTCTTTTCAGTGGAAAGTACCCAAACCCTTGTTATTGCGCAGGAAAATATGAAATACGGTCACTGCAGGCTGCGATGTGTGTGGCTTCAGCGTGTTCAGGATCAGATAAGGAGAGGAGATAGTCAGAAAGACGGACAGCTGTTGTCTGCTGACAGTCCAGGGTTTAATACACACACTACACACACTCATACAGATCTCCACTGGGCCTCCCTTGGTGCTCCCTGGGGTTTTAGGGAATTGAAAAAGGGAGGAACGGGTGGGAGAGGTGAAGACATATAGGAGGGGAAAGTGGGATTACTTTCAAGACTAATATTCAACCTGCAACTCTTCTCTTTACGGACCTTTTATTCTACAAAGTTTATGATATTTAAATGCAAACTTGCAGACTAAAGTGTCAAAACTAAACAGACACACTGCTTCTAAATGGATCCTCACACGCAGATATAAAGATGGGAAACAAAACTGTATTTTTAAAGCTATTTGCTCAGTAACTTTTTAAAATATTTTGATTTTTTTTTACGCTCTGTCTTTGTTTCAGCTTCTCTAACTAACTAACTTTTTTTAATGTGTACCTTTGAGCTTTTCCATAAAATAGTTAAGAGCGTTTTGATCTGGTCAGACTTGCTGTTCGATGCGGACAGCTGCACATATCAGGCTACATTCATGCTGCTACTTCTTCTGAAGCTGGATAAAGTTCAGAAGCACTTTCCAAAAGCTGAAACCTAAAACTCTGAAGAAAAAAACTAAAATTTTGATTTTATTAACCTTTAGTCTGAAACAGTAAATTACCTCACAACTTTCTGTGTTTTTTTTTACAGTATTAAGATACTCTATTATCACTCGTTCACTTTGTACTGCTTTTTCAGGATAACCACTTAGTAAAATAAAAAGCCACATTTAGACACACAAATAATGAAGAAACTAAAGTAACACAGTTGTGCACAGTGTTATGGTAACACAATACAGTTATTTTTTTTAGTATTTCATAATTTTATCTGAAAACTCAGGTTAAAAGCGTGTTAGTTTGAGAGTTTAACGATTTTTTCTCAAAGTTGGAGAACTGTCAGTTTTTCTGTTTGGCAGTATTTATTATTGAAGCTTGTTGTTGGTGTTTTATCAGTCTAATGCAAGCTAATATACAGGTATTTGTCACCCTCATCACATGTCAGACATATGATGTGTAAAGTGCTCCTTACACGTCCAACATTTGTCAATGCAAAAAAACATCACAATCAATTTTTAAAAGCTAAAACTTGTTCTATTTGTGTTAAAAATCAAAAATGGTCGTTAAGGGCTGTAAATGAAATTGACGTATTATAATTTTGAATATTTTTTTAGACTATATGGGTCAAGAACATCTGAGCCCTGGGTGAACCTTGAGGTCAACTAAGAAAGCCTGTATGACTCCCAGAGAAGAGAAAGGTTGAAGAAGAGGGATACACAGGAGCTCAGAGAGAAACGGTGCGATAGCGAAGAAGTATAATGAAAATTGGTGAAGATAAAGTCAGGAAGAGCAGAGCTTCCTAAGAAAATATTTATCATTCCACAAACGTTTGGCTTCAGAAGGGCTTTGGAATTAATTTGTGTTTTCTTAAGAAGGGGTGCCTTGCGTTACAGGATGGGGAATTCTCCACAGCTCGGGACTTTCTGGGGCTGCTGCTTATTCACAATTTATTAGAGGCGGTAATAAGAACCATGAAGGCTGGAGGGAGAGAGAGGAAGAGAGACTGAGAAGGTCCTGGGCCTGCCGTGGGGAGTCCAAGGAGCCCAGAAATGAGGCCTAATGTTATTAAGAGACAAACCGCAGTGTTAAATCAAACACGCCCCAGAAGCATACCTGCAGTATGTGGTCTGAAACCCCCTACAGAATGACCCCAGGATGTTGTTGGTGCCGTGTGAAATACAGGTATATAAAGGAGATTTACTGAGATTTACAGGCTGTCACAGACCTGAATCTGATACAGCGGCGATATGAAATTAAATAAGACTGCTGCTTAGACCTGCCAGAAATGCTGCGAGTATATTTCAGGTCAGGAGATATATTTCGTCCAAAACTTATTCAACTGAAATTAAAAAAATGAGAGATATTTTTGAGGGAAATGCCTTTCAGTGAAGTATCTGTTTGTTTCCCTGTAGTAGTGATGGTTTTTAATAAACAAGGATGCTTTGGTGTCAATGTTTATCACAGCAAAGTTGAGATTTTGTGATTTAAGTACACAAAATCTTAAATTTTCAAAAAGAACTTCTCCCTTTGTTAGTGGCATTAAATCACTGTCTGTATACTTTAAACAAAGTAGGTCTATTTTTGATGTTTTTACTCTTCTTCTGTTTATTTACATCATTTTAAAATAACCAAAAGGGCCCCATTAATTTTAGCACCACCATGTGTGCAACTGATAGTCAAAGTCTGAAGGTGATTTCACTGGTTGGCAAAGGAACACAGTGTGTGAGTTTCTAGTCTGGAGCCATGAAGGGGTCCTTGAAAAATATGAATGCCAGCCTTTGAAAAATGCTTAGCGAGGCTCCCCTAATTTAGTTAATGAGGGTCCCTGCATGGCTGCAGAGGAGTGTCAGTGATTTGGGTGTAATCTTCTGTACTTAAAGCCCCGCACTGACTCAAGCAGCACCAAGAAAAACAAAGGAGCCCAATCTGAGAGATGGTGCCTCACACACTTTCACTCCAACATCTCTTTACAGGGTGGATTTGATGTCAGAAATAATCAAAAACAATGATGTTGGAGTAGAAAACCAGGCTTTTTGAGAAATATTAAAATTCCAGACAGGTTTCAGAGGGTTTCATGATGACTGGGATCCCTGATTATAAGAAAGGAATAACTTGCAGTTATGTTTGCTGATTACTTTTTGAACAATCAGACATTACAGAGATTAAAAAAAGCAAAACAAAACAAGGTAATGATTAACAGTTTTGCTTGTTTCTAAAGAGATCAGATGGATTAATCCCTTAAAATCCTTTAAAAATCAAAGCCTTAAGCAATCTTAAGTCCTCTTAACTGTTTTTATAGTTGGTTGTGAACTTATTGTGGATATAACCAGTGAGACAATTGCAAAAAGCAAGAGGGCATTGGGGTCAAAATCTGTCTTAAATTTAACCCTTTAAAGCCTGAAACCACAAATTATGGCCAGAAAATCTAATTTGTTTTGGAGCTGAAATGTTTATGTCACCCAAAAAATTAAAGCGTCATTAAAATTTAACAAATATATTTATTTATCTTGTTTGATACATTAGATGTTTTTGTAAACTGATAAACCACAAGAGGACATTTTTATCATTTATCAGATTGTATTAAAGTGTTTTTTTAGTAATTTGTTGATCATATTGATTTGATAAAAGTATCATAAAAATATGTATAAAAAAGATTAAAAAGTTGAAAACTTTTTATTATTCAAATTAAGTTAATTAGCCCACACATACAGGTAATCTTTTGACTATTTTATCAAATGTGGAAGTCTCAACAAAAAATAAAAAATAAAAAATAAAAAATTAAATTAAATTAAATTAAATTAAATTAAAACACTATATCCGAGAGTATGAGTGAGGAGCGTTCACGAAAAGGATAATTTCTCGTATTTTCTCGTACTTACCATTTTTCGAGAGTCAGAAATCGCCGTAAAAATCCGTCCAATGATCAGGACAGTCGTGCCTCCATGCCCGGAAGTCCCCGCAGACTTCTCACAACTTTCCCGGGTAAATCAGTTGTAAAGTCGGCGCGTGAGGAGAACAAGAAGAAGAAGAAGCACGAGCTCTGTTTTCTCGAGGCTCTCCAGGTGCAGACAGGTGACAGCTCTCTCTCTATCTCTGCTCACACACACAGACACTCGCTCCTCTTCCTCCTCTGCAGCTTCAGGAGCGTGTTTGCTTCCCCGGCGGTGTGGATGTGATGTTAAGTAAACGAGCGAAGATTTCTGGTTCCTCCTCCTCCTCCTCCCTCAGAGGTGCGCGCGCTGCTCACTCCCTGAACGTGTGAGTGTGTATGTGTGTGTGTGTTTCTCTTATCTCCTCTTCCCCATTCACAGCTTCATCTCCTCCTCTCTATCTCCTCTTTAAATCTTTGTTTTGTTGAAGGGTTCCTCTCCTCGTCTGTTTACACAACGACCCTCACACCATTCACAGGGATCCTCGGACCCTCTGTTTGCTCCACTGATAGCAGGATTTGTTAGTTTGTGGTAAACAACTGCCGGCTATTGACAGCTTTATGGTCAATGTTTGTTATTCTTTAGTGTGTAAATGTGTAGAAGTGAGGGGGAAGATTCATTATATTCAAACCCTCAAGATAACTTTATGTAGCAGGTGAAGGCTAAGCTACTGGGCCTAGTGCATACAGGTACGGTGGCCCTAAAGGTGAACTGGGGGAAAAAAATGTTTTTGAAACCCCAAAAAATTCAGGCAAGAAATTTTTGTATTTTTATGCATAATTAGGCAATATTTATGCTGCGATCCAGTTACCCCAGAAGTCAGATGTCGGAGCTGGGAATGGTGCTACACCCGAGTTTACGGCGTTCCAGTTAACAAGTGGGAAAACCAAGATGGACGCCTACCGTTAGCCGTTGTTAGCAATACGCACAACGCGGTATTTTACTCGTACAAACACCATAGCACCGTGTTCACAGTTAGACGTTGGGCAGTACAACAAATACAGCTTATTTAATTTCACAAAAACAAAACAGAAGTACTGATAAGTAAAACATGACGAGAGCTTTCACTGTTACTCTTTACTGTTGATGCACTGCGATGCCATCTTGGATTATGATGTTGTCAAGTTGGGGTTGGGGAGGATCGTCTGACTTTCCGAGTCAGGAATCTGACTTCAGGGGGGCGTTCAAGATGAATTTCTGACTCAGAGCTTGGAAATTCTGACTTTCAAGAACAACTGGAACGCAGCATTATCACATTGATTCAGGGAAACAAGTAAGACTTTTTTTCCTTGTTTCCTTTTTTGCACATATTAGTAACTGCTTAATGAGATCTATCATTTTCCATGATAATTAAGTTTTTTATTATTTCAATCAGGTTTATCCTACTGTGAGTGGAGAATGCTTTTTTAGGGCGATGTGGTATAGTGCGGCTGCAACCGTGACAACAGTCTCACTCACACAGGAGAGGTTAAAAAATCCATATCCCCAGCTTAGTTCAGACTTTCAGTCAACAAATAAATATACTGTATATATCTACAGTATAATCCCAGTTTTAGATCCATTGATTCTAGTTTAAAGCCTAAGGCCTGGAGCTCATCACCTGCTCCTGGTTGTGTATGAGAGCAAAGTCAAAGATCTCTCAAGGTTACAAAAACAGGTCATGAGTCTGTGTTGTCTTTACAACACCTGCTGAACTGAACAAAAACAGTTTCTGGCAGCCCGCTCTGCCTGAGTGCAGTCATCACAAGTCCCCCCTAGAATGCAGGTGTCTCATCCTCTGCCTGCCTGTTTGTTCAATATGATGAGAATATGTGTGTTTCTGCCTGCTTTATATGTGCCATTGTCTCTGTGTGTATTCAGTAACGCGAGGAAGAGTGTGTCGGCGCAGGGAGCAGAGACACAAGAGGAAACAGGTTCTCCTGAGCGGGGACGACAGGATGCCCTTTCTGACACCGACGTGACACCCACAGACATGGATAGGAGAGGGCACCTGGGGGAGAGTCGTGCTTTTCTACACAACGTGGGTAAGTAGCTGAATCAGTGACCTTTCAAAATAAAAGGGAAGGACATCCTCATTGGTGATATTACTCACAAAATAACATGTCTAGTTAAAGCATGAACTTCTTACATTTTTATTTAAAGAAAACTAGAATCATGAGAGACTGAACGGCACAAAATGAAAATTTAAACTCTAAATCCAGCACTCCTAAAAATGTAACAAAAACGTCTCTCCTCTCGGTGCTGAAATAAACATATTTGGATAACTTCAGTGGTAATTTCCCACTCAACAGATCATTAGTGTCAAAAAGCCTCAAACAATGTGCCTCAACCTGTTGCATTTGGCACACGTCAGCTGGAAGAATGATGGCAACAGCAATAAGGAAGGGAGAACATTTTCCAGTAGTGAAAATGATTTACAACCCTCACTTATCACACAGCATGCCTTGTAGCAAAAGCAATGCATGCTGGTCGACTGAGGCTACCTTCAGTGGAAAAAACTGGTGTTTCAAAATTCTCTCTTATGAGGAATGGATCTCTTAAAGCTCGCTGTTTTTGATTGTGAAGGAATACAGAGAGTTCATGTTATTTACTTAAACCTGTTCTGCATGAGTTAAGGTAAGAGGTGGTAACAGGTTTGGATGCAGCACAAAGAAAGGTTGAGCATGTTGGGAAAATTAGTTTAAGGTTTAATGTTTCGAGCCTAAATGATAAATATTTCCCTGAAGTAAAAAAAATAGACTTAACTCTGTAGTTTCAGCTCTGCTTTCCTGCTTTGTGAGGAGTGCAAACATACTGAATTTTGGTTTAGCTCTAAATTTAACTTGTTATCTTCTTAAGTACATAGAAAACCTCACTTTTTTGACAGATAACAGAAAAATAAAAACATTTCCAAGTCTTTTTTTAGTTATTGTGTGACCTAATCATGATGTATCTTATAAGGCCATGGGACCAACAAACACTGAAGCAGTTTGAGCCACAGATCTGAGTGAAAGACGTTAAAAACTGCACATAAAAATACATTCGTACAATAAAAACTATCAATAGAAACAAGAGGAGAAGAAGAGAAGTCACTTTTCTGCACCAAACTTAGATTGATCATATAACCAGATCTAACTTAAACAGCATTTATAATCTATGTATCAAGCAAACAGCAAACTTTATCTTGAATGTTGAAAACTATGAAAAAAAGATATCCACAATAACATTCCTCCTGTTGACAATGTTAGACCTTACAATAGTTGCCCATCAAAATGTATTACATAGGAATCTGACATGATTATTATGCCTAATAATAAGTGGGCTGTAGATATCTTAATTTTATACTTTTTCTACATGGATATCTGAAATACTCACTCTGACTTGGAAGAACTGACTTACAGATATCTGTACTATTCAGATAATAAAATGTCATGTCATATGTAGCACAACTCATAGTTCACAGCTTTGATGCCCTTTTTTAAATCATCATTTTAAAGCCTACAGCTAAACTCCCACATGAAAAACCTTAATTCGTCAAAATAAATTATGCTTTCCAGGATTACAGATTAACTGAAAATGTTCCAGAAAAATTTATTCCTGTATTTCAGATCAGAAACTCAAAAAAAAGTCATCTGTTAATTTAAGTTTGTCGTCAACATGTAGAGGACAGAGTAACTAAAAAGTTTACACCAGAGGTGAGACACATTGACGGCAGCAGTTTGCCGTAGAACAATGGGTTATGTAACAGTTCACAAAAGCTGCTATTGTTTTCATCTGTGGTTTTTAAATTGACCTTATGAACTCAGTAATTTTGACAAGATGATTGATGACAAACGAGATGTCATAATTATTCTAACAGTACCAAACTTGTTACACTTCGCCAGTGATGAACTTTGTGCCAAACAGCTAATGGGGATGGTATGAATGAGGGGGAATTTAATCTAATAGTGTTTGTTCACGGGAGATGTTCAACAAAAATATAAACAGGCTTTCTGGAAAAATCTGTCGTTGTGACGTGAGGGCAGAGAGGAACACAGTGACAATGGCTGCGACCCAGACATGATGAACCAGTCTGCAGCAGGTTCAAACAGCAGGCGGGCGGCACAGCTCCTCTCTTTCACTGGAATTTGCGGTGGAGAAATAAAAGCTGCCATTGTCTCTCGCTTCCTCTGATGGCCTCAGCTGGTTGTCTGTGGATCCTCCTGACAGATGGCGGCATCCGCTGACACACTTACTGTCACAGTGTGTCATCGGCGTCCCTACAGTCAGGATGAAAGAAAACAAAACGCTGCTCTGAGTGACTTTCAGCTGTTATTTTTTTTTACTATAGAGAAGTTTCTGTCTTCAACCTCCATTCAGCAGATCAGATTTTACATTTGTGTCTGAACACTTTGATGTGTGAAATATTGTTTAGAGAGAAAGACAAAAAGCTCTTCCACTCTCAAGCAGAGTAGACCCTGATCTGGCAGCCTTTAAGTCTTACTGGCATCTCTATCACCTGTCCATTTTATTCATAAACATTTCCTTTAAGAAATTACTTCATATTTTAGCGAATCAAATCACTTTAAACCATATTTTCATAAGACAAAAATGTATAACCAGGACTGACCATTTAATAAAAGCATGCAACTATACAGAGGGAATTTCACTTTTTAATATGTAACCATTTAGTACGATAAGACAAATATATATGATATGATACAATTCACTCCCAAACTATATAATGCTATGTGATACAATACAGTAAAATAGCGTAGGACCAATATGCTACAGTAAGATATGATACGATATGAAGCTTTACAATACAATGTGATAGGATACTATATGATGCAGTAAGACAGCATAAGACCAATATGGTAGGATACGGTACAAAGCTTTGCAATGTGGAAATAGGTTTCTTTTTTCCTTTTTCTCAGACATGTTATCTTTTTCACGTACCTTGACTTATTTTGGCAGAAACACAGCGGTAGGCTCAGATTGACAGGAGGGTCACGCCTCCATAACAACAGCTAATTTGACGTGTCACACCTACCACCAAGTGACACTTCTGAGGAAGGCGGAAACTTCTGCCGAAACATGTTACAGTACGTGAAAAAGATTACACGTCTGAGATAAAGGAAAAAAATAAAAATATTTCTAAAAAACTGAAGACATAATGAACATCATTTCACTAGCTTTACAATATGATATGATACGAGTCGTTCCAAAATGATATGACAGGATATAATGTCAGTAAGATAGCACAAGGCCAATATGCTATGGTAGTATATGATACGATACGATACAATACGATACAAAGCGATACAATATGATATGATGTGCTATCTTACTGTATCGTATAGTATCATAAGACCTATGTGCCATGATATGATATGATACAAAGGTATACCACATGACACAACACAATAGATACAGTAAGATAGCATAGGACCAATATGTAATGATAGAATACGATACAAAGCTTTTCAATATAGTATGATACAAAATGATATGATTTGTTTCAAAATGATATGATAGGATATAATGTCAGTAAGATAGGATGAGACCAATATTATACAATATGATATGATTTATTACAATTCGATATGTAACGATACGATACAATACAGTCGGAAAGCATAAGACCGATATGCTACAATACAAAGCTATAAGATATATGATGTGATATGATAAGATGCAATACAGTATGATACAGTCAGATAGGATAAGACCAATATGGTACGATAGGATACAACACCAAATAATACAGTATGAGACAATATGATATGAAATAACATGATATTTTATGATTTGCAATACTGTAAAATGTAAAGACGTAATTAGACGTAATTAGGAAAACATGAATAACATAAATGACAGGGTACAAATAGCTTGAATTAAGTCAGTTTTACACTCAATTCGGCAATACATTGCAACAACAAATCGATGGAGGTTCATTTATGTGGAAGATGAAAGTCAAACTGACCGTGACAGTGCGCCGCTAACCTGAGCTACAGGATACGACTTGTTTTTTCCATCAAAAGTGGAATGTAAAGGAGCTCACTTGGAGACAATGGGGAATGTGGTCGCCTGTTTTTTTATTCATCTTTTTCTTTGTGTGTTTTTTTCCCACAGAAATTAGCCTCATTGGTCTGAGTTACTAAATGATGGTTGTCGGTATCACAGAAAACAATCTAGTAGTAGTAGTAGACAGGTCTAGATTGGGGTTTGCTGAGAGGCTACCATTTCTCTCACATATCTGATTTACACAACAGGTATCCTTAAAGCTCAATTATTTTATACTTTTTGGAAATGAGCTTTAGTTAGATACTTGAATTAGACTGTTTTATCCTCAGTTTGCCAACCTATGTTAAAAAAGTTCCTGTTTTTTACTGTTTAACCAAAAAGATTCTCGAAATAAAAACTTGATATCAAGTCTGAAATTTAACACTCTTCAGTTCAAGTTCAGACCGCACATTGACAGAGCAGGAGGTCAAATCCTTCCCTGATTGTCAAAAAGCATTTTTTCTCTCCCTCTTTCTCCAATAAACACTCCCAGCATCCCTCCATTCTTCCTGCTGGGACCAGTGATGGAGCAGCCCTCCCTCCCAGTGAGGCAGCTCTCACCCCGGCTGCTTATGTGCTGTGCGTGTAATTTAAGTGACCCCGGCCTCTAGCCGTACAGAGAGGAGGCCGTTAAAGAACACACACATGTGCAGAGCTGGGGAGGGTTGTTTTTATGAAATACATTAGAGATTTCTGTTTTAAGAAGAAGAGGAACTTTGGGAAATTTGTCTTGGGCTGTTCACCCACACTTCAGCCTAAACAACATTTACATGATAGAATACAAAGATAAATAATGAATAACAGCAGTATAAAAACATAAAACAATGTCAGCTCAGGCTTTTTCTGACTCTTACCTGCCATCATTTAAAAGTTTGAAAGTAATAAACGATTGTTCAGGATGAGGAACTTTAGACATCCCACCAGAGGATAGAATTACAACCCAAATTTGCCATCAACACCATCAACTCTCAGACAGCTGTTGTTTCAATCTGTAGCAGGACTTTACTAAAATAACTACTCTTTTAGCCAAACAACCCAAATTTAAGTAATATAATCCAGTTTTTTGAGTTATAATTAAGATTTAGCACTCTGGACCTCCAATTGGACCCATTTCTTCTGTAGAGATTTGCCAAATTTTACATGCATATGTTCTACTATTGCAGTATTTTACAGAAAACAGATTTTTCCTTGTATAACCAAGCTTTTGCACCCAGTATACATAATACCCACAGGAATTTCTCTCTGAAGAAGTGCATATACTGTATGCATGAACACACATACTGTACATCTGCGCACACAAAAGCTCACATATCCCTCCACGGCTGCTCTGCACCCCTCGTCCGCCCTCCTCTGTGCCCCCCATGTCTCAGGAATGTGGGAATGATTGCCTTAATTTTATAAAGCGCACGGCTTCCTTTAGTTCAATTTTCACCAACACCATAAAAAAGAAGCAGTTGTAAGGTCAGCAAGAACCCATCTGGTTTTGCCATTGCTGCGGCTTTAATGACCAGGTAATAAAAGTTCAATTTGACAGAAATTACAACAGATGTTTGAGGCTGAGAACCTCAGACAGACTCGGTTCCACAGCGGGATGAAACCCCAGCCTGCAGGAGCTGCCTCGCTGCTCTGATAAACTGTAGAAAGTGACTGATGTTTGTGCAGCATGAGAGAGTGCATAAACCATGAACATTTTACAGTACACAGTAGACAGGTTTTAGCTTTGTGTACTTGGATAACAGGGCGCACAAGTCTGCTTTTCAATCTGCAAGGCAAGTTTATTTGGAAAGCAACTTTTAACAGAATATGTGTGCAGACATGTTGGATGATCTGAGAAGACTCCAACTGAAGATTTCTGACAAATATTTTTCCAATATGAACAAATTTAGCTCTTCTGAGTTTTCCCCGCAGTTATCAATCAACACAAACAAAAACCAGTAAAGTTTATCATTGTGGTGTTTGTGCTGAATTGTGTTTTAAGTGCATTGCCCTTCCCTGCACTGGCAAAGTCTTCTGTAGCTGATGCGTCATGGAACAAGAACTTTACACCATGTCCTAACAGCACCAGTTTGTTTGTGGGGGGAGCCCTGACGAGTCGATCACCGAGTGCAGCGGAGTTTCGCAGCCCAAGGAAGAACATTTATGATTATTATTTCATGGAAATGCAATCAGACCGAGATACTAAGACAGAAGATCGACCGTGTCTGCTGTGCAAAATTATTATTATGATGATTATTACTTTAGGGGAATGATTCGCTGCATTCTGTGATCAACTCGTCAGGGCTCCCCCACAAACAAGCGGCTGCTGGAAGAGAGTCGGTGAGTTGTGTTTAGTCTCTTTGCTAAAGAAATCAGGCAAAGTTAAAAAGATGTTTGGTGTCTAGTACTATGGCTGGGACCCTATATGTCCTGTTGATGAAGTTAGGTGCTGTTCTGAGCATTATTTGTGGCTATAGAGTGGCGTTTTGGTTGAGGTTTGCGCATGGAGACATAGCAGGGCTTGACACTAAGTTGAAAAAGTAAGGAGCACACAAAGAACTTTAGGGGCACAATAAAAATTGATCAAATAATGTTTGTCTTGTTGGTCGACATTATTGTTTGAAATCAATTTTAGGTCAATTGGTCACATGACATGGAAGCTATTGAAGGAAAACAGCCTTTTTTTAAGAACATCAACCAGTAATTTATTGATGGTCCCTTATTCAACACCCGACGTTGACAGCAAGGATGCGGAGTAGATTTAACTGCACTGCTGTTGTTATTCCCGGTTATGGAGAGTTAGAAGACACCAGAAGATCCGCAATAAATTTGCATCGAATATCCAACCTAAAACTAACCTCGCCTAATTTTTTTAGGTGCACATGTGCCCCTAAATACATTTTTCAATTCGCACACATCTATTTTTAGTCGCAAATGCAAGTGAAATGGTCGCACTGTTGAGCCCTGTATAGCCCGCTGTGTATTGCTATCGTGCGGTCGCTACTAAAGTTGGTATAACTAGAGAAGCAAGTGGTCGGCAACATTCATCTCTAGAGGGGGTGTCTAACTCTGTGTTACGGTGTGTTTGACTGTAATTTTCCTTTTAAGGAACATTTTCTTATGAAGCAATATCGGCTGCCACTGAGTGAAAGATTAACAGATTACTCCTCATTCAGACGTAATGAATTTACTGCTCCTAGGCCATGACTGTGCAAACAACAGGAATAAACCTTGTGCCGGGTTGCTATTGGGTACTTAGTTTCTCCAACAAACAATGTGATTTAGCTGATTTTGATACTGCCACTCACTTTTGTCCCATCCAATTACATGATGATGAAATGCTGACAATAAAAACACTTTTCGGTTGCAGCCGCGCATCAAAAACTTCGCTTTCCCTGTGTTTAAAGTTCTACCCAAGCTACTTGGCACTAAAATGCCTATTAAATCACCATTAAGTCATTTAAACAGCACAATATATCCGTCATCCCTGTACCTGTCATTCAATCTCGTTCATATCTTCTATTTAGCTACCCAGCAGGTACAGTAAGACTGTCAGACTCCATGCCAGCCTCTGGGTTCACAGGTGAACCGTGAGAAAGTGTGTTAGTGTAGCTACACCTTTCTCACCCAACTGTAACTCACAGAATCAAACTTTTGCAGGAATGTCTCAGCGGATATGTGAAATTGAACGACCTGAGGGCAGGTATTCACCCGGCTCTTCTCTATGTTTTCCCATGCGTGAAAAACAGCAGAGGCTGTGTAAACCTGTGTGAAAATAGTTTACATTTCTGATCCGTGTTCGACTCAGCGTGAGAGTCAACACGATGTCACTTTCATCAGTGACAATTGTAATCAAAAAGTGCGGTTATTTTAAGTCAGGCTCCTGTCAGTCTTAAGAAAACTTCATTTTATACGTCTCCAAACACACAGCTGGAGTTTAAACTCAGACGATTGACACTTGTTCTCACTTCAGCTGATTTATAATTCCCACCTGATTGAAAATAAAGCGAAAACCTCAGCCAGTCTGCGTCTTTCTCATATGATGGATGATCTCCACGGAGAATTCTTCAACCTTTTCGCTTTTTGAAACCCTCCAAGCTTTCACACAAAAAAACACACTTTCGGCTCCTCTGTTTCCTGCTCACGGGCTCAGAGGTGACACAGATACGTTCACGTGTAGCTCAACATGTTCCCACCACGGAGCAGAAAACATCAGACTTTAGGATCCATGGCTGAAAGTAAAGGGACTTTTTTGAGCCCCCTTTCTCTGACAAAGAGAGCGACGGGGCGGGTTGAGAGTATTGTGTTTCTCTTCTGTTCGTGTGACTCAGGGAACAGCGTGAAATAGTTTCACCAACAACACAGCCTTTTGTTTTTCAGAGCGTTTCTCTGGGTTTGTTGGTGTCGACAAAGGAGTGACGCTCCTGGACAATAACGATACTCTCTGGAGGGGGTTTCCTTCAGCTAATGATTTTTATTATGAGGAACAAGGAAAAAGGAAGAGCTCTGAGTCTGTTAAACCTCAGAATATTTGAAATAAATGTCCTTTTTTTCGCTCATTTCCTTTTGTGTCAATCATTTGATCTGACCCAGTTTTCTACCTGAGAAGTGGACATATTAAAACTTTAACTTATTTTAATACACAGACATTTTCAGTCAAACTCATCACAAAAAATGAGGGCTACACTCTGAATTTCCAATAGTTTATATATATTAAAAATCTTTATCTAGAGTTAGTCCAGGCAGGCTGTTCAGGCTCTTTTGGTCATGGCCAACAAATGCAGTCTGGTTTTCCAGATCGGGTACGTCTAATGTGACTGAACACACTGTGATCAAGATAGTGGGAACTGAAGCGGCAGAGTAAAACACAGATGAGTTTGAATATTTGGTTTCGACATGATAGGACAGAGGTTATAGAAACTGGAAAAGAGTAAGGAGTAACATGCAGGAAAGGAGCTGCAGACTGGAAGTGAACCTGGGCCGGCTGTTTGAGGATGATGGCCACCGTACCAAGGTTATAATAGTTTTGGAATTTACAATAAAGTTTAGTTTTTTTTCATTTAGACTCTTTTTTTCCCCTCTAATTCAGTCAGTTTTTTCTAAATGTTTAGTTTTAATCAGTTTTTGTTTTTCATACTTGGTAATAAGGTTATTTACTCGTGCAACATCAGGTTATTTAAATTTTGGCTCGAGTAAAAAGCTTAACTTTCGAAGGCGATCAGCTCACGCAGTCTGGTAGACATACCAGTCTCGATAAACATAATTACCACTTCGTCTTCCCATTTCTGGTGTTCCTGCATGTTTACTAACCAGCAGTTCTTTGGTCGTCGGTGAAAACAGTCCATTTTAGTTGTCTCCGGCTTCCTGGTGCTATCTCCTGGCTGAGATGTTGTTTCTTTTTGAGGGGAGCTACTCCAATTTGTCGAGGTACTCCAGATTAGCGTTCTTGTGTGAGCTTCTCAAATGGACTTTAAGATTTGTGATTTTTTTTTTTCCATTGTGAAGGGAAAAGGGCACTTGCTTTTGTCTTTCTCTCTGTCGTATTTAAAGAAATTTCGCATATGATTTCGTAAAACCCAAGCTTTGTCGCCATTTTGCCAGGTAGAATGATGAGAAGCCGACTGTAAAGAAGAAGTGATGAACTGTGAGGTGTCGTACTGTGCTGCAGCTCACATAAAATTGCTTGAGTGAAATAAAACAATTTCATATCAATCTGAAATTGACAAAAACGAAAATGAAGGGATTTTTATCTAGAATTTTAACATGTTTTAATTAGTTTTTTATTATAGTTTTTATTTATTTCAGTCAACGAAAATGTTTTTTCTATTCTAGCTTTCGTCATTTCGTTAGTTTTAATTAACGATGATAACCCTGCTCAGTACATGGGGTATGCACTTGAACTGCTGGGCCAACAGCGCCCCACAATCTTGAAAATCAAAGTGAATGTAATTTAGTTACACAAAATTTCTTATTTTCTCACTATCGAAGTGACGGGGTGGTGCTTTGTGAGCGGTAGGTAAAGGTCCTGTAAGGAATTCATGTAACTTTGAGTCTGTTCCGGGCCAGGCATGTTACTAAAAAGTGATTGTTTGAACAGAAAATAGAAGAAAAGAGTCGATAAAATGACTTTTATTGGTGGCTGTGGCTCAGTGGTAAAGTTGGTCGTCTTTTAAATGAACTGACAGTGGTTTGGTCCCAGCTCCCACTGTCCACATGCATAAGTGTTCTTGGTAAAGACACTGAACCCCATATTGTTCCCAGTGGCACAGTCAGCAGTGAGTAAACGCATATGAATAAGATTAGTTAACGCTGATGGGCACTTATCAGAGCAGCGTCTGCCATCGGAGTGTGAATGTGGTGTGAATGTAACGTATCGTAGAAGCAAACATGGTTAAAAGGGTGGGATTTACCAAGTACATGAAGTTTACAAGAAGTTATCAAAACAACTATCTGCATGAGTTTAAAATTATGCACAGCAGTGTAAATCTAAGCATGTGTTTGTAATGCTGGTTTGAAGTAAATCGTTTTGAACATTTTGGCATCACTAGCTCTGCTCTGTAACTGCGTTCAGCTCTGTAATGGACTGTAAAGAAACTTTCCAGCATGTCAGTGAGAACGTTCATCTAAACTCTTACGCCAGTGAATATAAAATAAAAGGGGAGAGATGTTCATTTCTTCTGCTCAGTTTTCATCATTGTAATTTCTTAAACATGTATCTCACAAATATTCAGTTTCGTTATGTATTGTATATTTAATTGCACTTAAATCAGGTGCCCTGTGGCAGTCACAACAGGCACTAAAAAGGGAGTATTTCCTCACATGATAGCATCTTACTCATCACATCGTCATGCGATTTAAAGGACTGCCAAGTGCAATCACATAGTATCTGTTAAAAAAAAAGGGAACATGAACACGGTTAAAAGATGTACCAACTGCTTGTTGTGGCAACACGACAGAAGAAAGCAATCAGCGCTCTGACAAACGTGCCTCAAACAATAAACCTCCAACGACAAACGACACATGAACATAATCTTAAAGTTTCTGTAGGAAATTTTAACCAGATTATAAAAAGTATTTTGCTTCTCCTGATATATCTGTGTCACCTACAACAGCAAATGAGCCCATAAATAGTGTAACTCCTACTTTCAAAATTCGTTGGTTGGGTCTGCCCACTGACGAAACGACTAAGGCGGATGTTACGGCACTTAGCGACACGAGAGGAGCAGTGAGCTGGCAAAGCTATCCAGTGAAAGCAGAGCTAAAACAAATATCTACACATGGCTGATGATGGGACGGGGTCCAAAAAAAGAAAGCGAATTAGGACAGAAGAAAAGAAAAAAAAGTGAAAGGGAATGTGATCGAGCGAGGGCAAAAACGAGAATAAACATTGGCGATTCCTACGTTAGGTGGAGGGAGTTTCAGGGCTTGAAGGGATTCAAGTCAGATCCTGAATTTGCCCAGTTCTTCCTAGACAAGCTGCGCTTTTTTACACTGCTGGCGTGTTGATATGAAGAAATAACATTTCCAAGGAGAGCTAACAACTTATGCTTTATATACTAATCTACGGTCGAGTTATCTAATCTGTTTGTTGTAGGTTTACTGTTACGAATGGGTTGTAACTGTAGGCTAAAAATACAGTTCACAATAAAACAACATTATTTTATTTCACTGGTGGCATATTATGTTTCACAGAAATGCAAATATATACATAACTTCATCACTACACATCCTGCAGGTAGCCAAAAAAACAAAAATCAGTACCAGTAAGTCCCATCTCTTTTCATTCGCCTACAACACAACTACCCACCAGACCAAAGACCTTGTGTCTTCACGCTCAAGAGCTCATGGGAAATGCAGTCATCATTCCAGCAAAACACTACCGCTTTTGTCCATAGGGGCCGCCAAATGCAACGGGAAATGAAAACTCTGTTCAGCTGCTTCAACAGGGAAAGAATTGAACGACATTTATAGTGTAAGAAAGTTTATTTAAGTGACAGTGATATACATATTTATTTTTGTTGTGCAGCAGCAGAAGTTAATTAAAATGAATGATTTCTGATCCATAAATAAACCACAAACCTTTTTTGTTGTTTTTCTCTGTTATCGTAATGATAAGGGATTACACTTGACCTGCGAGGGTACAGCATGATGTCATCTCTGCCTGTGCCGAGCGTGATTCCCATGGCTGCGAGGCTCAAGGAAGCAAGAGTTCATTTCATGACCTGTATGTGCATGCCTGCGTGATCTCAAGCAAAGGTTTTAATCACTGTCAGCAAAAAGGAAGTTAGTGAAGGGAATGAAGAGTAATAAGATCGGGGGAGAAGACAAGACAAGACGAAAGACTGCAGGAAAAACAGAAAAAGAAAGGAGTTATAAAAATGTGCAGAAGAATGAGGACGCAAAGGAGAGAAAATATTTTCTCTTCTTGTTTTCACCTGCTCTTGGCAGGATTGATAACAGGTTCCTGCGCTGTGAACAAACTTGAGCAACTCCTGCATGTTTCCTCTTAAAGTCTGCATTAAAAAAAACTTTAATTACTGTTGAATGACAAAAAAAGGAAAGAACTCTGACAAAGAGGGTAAAAACAAAGAGCGATCCACAATATCAAAATAGTGAACGACAGCAAACAGTGGGTAGCAAGGTGGAAAATCTCAAATATTTTCTTATTGCTTCCAGAGTTACAGAAACCACGCTGCTGCGCAATCTGAAACAGATTTCAGATTTAAGACAAGATGGTGCAAAGAAACAGATCCTTCTCTTGAATGAAGCATGTTGTAACAAGGTCAAAAAAAACAGGAAAATAACTTTAAATCAGGGTTAAAAAATAATAGCTCTCATATGCAGCTGCAGACATGATGCACACGCTGACCTGTCATCAACTTAACCCACTAAAACTTCATCGTTTTAACTGGAACACAGTATTTCCTCAGGTTTAATAATTCTGTTTTATCTGCTGTCATTTAAAAAAAAATTATAGCTTGCGGCTTAATTTGAAAATCCCACATGCAATTTTGGAAATATCAAAAAGTTCAGGCTTGAATCCATCCAATCCATTTTCTTATTAGAGTCTGAAAAATAAGACAACAGACCATTTTTATGATGTTAATAAAAAGACCCCGCAACGTCTGGGTCAGAAAGTTCACCATCACAGTTTACGTATCAGATGTACAGAAACCAGACTAACGGGGTAAATCATATGAAGACGTTTTTTCTCCCTGCGAGAGTATTCGACCAAGAAAGACTCGTATTTATGTGTCTGTGATATTTTCAGCAACAGTCTGAAAATGACAGATTGCTGTTACTGTATCGTCTGCGTTAACTGCGTTAATATTGAATGAGGGAAAATGAAATGTCAGTGGTTAGCCTACCCTTGACCTTTGACCTTTTCTCCTTCTTACAGAAATCTATAGAATTCATTGCAGAGAATCAATGATTTGGAAAGTGATAGCCAAAGAGGAAGCTAATGGATGAAAGTGAAAATCTGCAGCACCTAAGGACTCGTGCAAAATGGCCAAAAAAAGCAGAAAACACAGAGAAAGATATTTACACCCATGTAAGAGCATGGTAAAATATTTAATTTGTACTACCCTGTAGTTAGGTTCATTTGTGCTCTAATGTGGCGCTTACACCAAGCGCGAGTAAAATCATCTACAGGCTTAATTTGTGCTAAACTCGACTCATGAATGAATCCTATATTCTATCTTCATTTGCGCGTCAACGGTAATTTTAACGGTTTTCCCCGCCAATTCAGTTGGCAGGATCAAGTGATTTGACAAACGTTTTTTACAATTTACCAGGTAATCCGACCTCCTCACTCACTTGAAGGCGAGTTTCTTTTTATTCCGGTTTTGATAATTAAAAGAAAAGGTATCATACAATTCAGGGCACCCACACACCGACACAATCAGTTTGTCCTCCGTTTTTAGATACTAGTGAACAACCGTCCGTTTTCATACATCACCCAACAACCTTGATATCCGCTCAAGTTGAGACATTTTCAGCTCCAGCCCAATTCGCGTCACTTGCGCCGCCAGAGTAGTAAAAGTGTCTAATCGCGTCTTTGCGTTGACTTAACATGTAATTCATTCGCATGAATGATTTGACTCGCACTTCGTGTGTGGAGACAGTAAAGATAGGCTTTTCGGAATAAGTGTTTATGTGGCTTCTCTGTCTTTTGCAGCCAGCCTCTAGTGGACAGCCGTGGAACTGCAGTTTCTAGCACTTCTGAATGCTCTTTAATTCTTAAAACTGAAAGCTGATTGGTTAAAACATTTGAAGTCGTAAAAGCCAGAAAATCCTGCTGCCTTCATGTTAACAGATGGGACATGAGTCAAACACACGTCAAATACAGTTTCCCCAAACACTGTTTCAATCAAAGTTAATTTTTATCCGTGCTGATTTATTATCAAATCCTCATTTTTTACCTCAGTTTTAGCTTTACTTTTGTCAGACTGCGGAGTAGATGTTGCCCATCATTTTACACAGTCATCAACAAAAGTTTGAAATGCATCAGCATCTAGGAACTAACATTTCTTAACAATCAGAATGATACTCCTCCCAGTTTCTTTCTTTATATTTGTATGAACAATCACAGACTGGAGCTATAAGTTGAATATTGTTTCTTTATTTTAATTTGACTGCAGATTTTTCTCAGGTTATACCATCGAAATCAAAACTAAAACTCAAAATGTTGAATCCACTTCAGGATTGTAGCAGTTACTGTGAAGTTCCAGTTACCTGTTGTAGTACATACTTTATGATTATATGAGAAAATTGATTTATCTGTCATGTATTGTCTAACTTGATTGGCTCATTATTTGATTAGTTGTAGAAACTTGAGGCTACTTTGCATCAGTCAGCATTAGGTATTTAATTTGGCTGTTGTGTTTCCTTTGTGCATTTGCATTTGTCCTCCTTGATTACGAGAAACCCTGCTCCTGTACAGTACGGTGAATTACCCTTTGGCCTTTGTTTTTTAAATTCCTCTTAATCCGTGTCACCTTTTCACCTCTCTGAATGAAGCAGAAATTCTCACCGAGCGAGGGAGAACAACTGCTGAGAAGAGGAGACACTTGTTTGACTCCCAGAGCTACCTGCCCTGGGTGATCAGGAATGAAACTCCCTCAGGCGTGTTTTTTTCTTTTTTTTCTCATTGTTGGAGAGAAATAGAAGGGAGGGGCGAGAGAGAGCGAGAGGAGCCATAGGTGACCTTTTGGATTATCAGTTCGCTGCCTGAGGTGAATGAGTGGGAGAGAAAGAGAGAGGTTGTGGTAAAGGTAAAGGTGTGAAAAAAGGGGCGATGTGTTCATTTCCTCTCTGCTCTGCTTGTTGGCTCCAGGCAGTGGATTTTCACCCAGGCCTCACCTTGATGCACATTGCCTTGTCAGTGCAAAGTGTGTGAAAACTCCACCCACAAGGAGAAGAGAGCGAGGAAGTCTCTGTGTTAAAACTTCACTTTGAGGTGCGCAATACCTGGAGAGGTTTCAACAGATGCAGCAGAGCAGGTCACTAAAAATCTGATTATAGCATCATTTACCTTCAGGGAGCTTTGAGATGTAGTCGATCATAAACGAGAAATAACTGCATGTTCGAAAACTGTTTTGCTGACGTGACGTTTTTGGCAAAATAGATTCGCTTAGATGACCTCAGTTTGACCTGAAACAATAAAATATAGAGCTCAATATTAAATATAAGATGATTTACTGTCACTAAGATTTAAAACAGCTGAAATAAAAGTCAAAAAAGTCTGAAATTTGATCATCTACATTTTTTCAAAACCCTGTGAAATCTAAACGTGTCGTTTTTGTCTCACTTGTGCAAAGACAGAGCCGTAGAGGAGATATACAACAACACTAAAAAATCACAGCTGCAAAGGCTGAGGTTAAAATAAAGTAAAAAAGATAAGATTTTAAAATATTATTATAGATTTAAGTGACAAAGTGATCCATAAGTGTGTATCTGTATGTTAAAGAATGGATAACCAATGACAGTTGAGTATTTAGAGTGACTTGACTTTACTAGGGTAAAAAAAATCACTGATACCTGGCTGGTGACTTTTACGTATTGGTTTGTGAATATAAGATTTGAAGCCCAAAGTTGGCAGTCACATCAGAAATGCTGATATAGTGGCTGTAAAGCATTGTAGCTAATAGGGAGTCTTTGCTTTTGCAACCAACCCCAAACGCACACACGAGGAGTTTTGGTGTTTTGCACTAAACGTTCAACCTAAGTGTTGTTGTTCTGATTTAAATATATCATCTGTTTTTCCCCATCTTCTTCAGCTACACAGAGATAATTAAGTTATATTTATTTTGGAAAGGTTGGTACGTCCTGGAATCTTTCAAGTATGAGGATGTCTCCAGTGTTTTATGGTTTTAAACCAAACATTGGCTAAGGGCAGTCTGTCACCGTGTCAGTTCAAAGCTTCGGTCCAGTGCGTCATTTTGTCATTTTGGAGACCACATGAAATACCGAAACCTCACCATTCAGGAAGATACTACAGATTGTGTGGGACACTGGTCAGTGACCATAATTGAGCTTTAGTTGCAAAAAATTACAGCAATTTCTTAAAAAGACATCCGACAAAACATGCAAATATGTAAAATGAAACCTCTCCTTAAGGTTTGATTAAAAAAGTGCTTCTTCTTCCTCTTCCTCTTTGGAATAAAAGAGAGAGCTGTCAGACTTTGACCCAAGAAACGACTTTATAAACAATGACATAGGAATATAAAACTCTTGGTTTAAAGGAAAAAAATAAAACTTCAGAACAACTATTTCCCTCATCAGTCTCTCTCTCTCTGTTTCAAAATCCTCTTGTTGTTCCTCTTCCCCTCCTTTTAGCAAGAAAGCACAAGAGAAATGTTCTTATTGGATTCATTTCTGTCCTGAGATGTTGCCACTCCACAGAGCACAGGGGCCCGACGTGTTTATGGTCATGTCTGTGAGCAGTTGACAGGCGCTGGAACGCCACACACAACCACATTTAATTAGAACAAGACTGTTTGACTTGCTGCATAACCCTGTTATTACTCTGACTGGGAGGCTTGGTTTCAATAACTCCACACATGAAACAGGGGTACCGAAGCCTACTGCATCCACCAAAAAAAAAAAGCTCTGTTTTTCAGAGTAATTGTTTTATGTTCTATTTTTCGGACTGATTTTCTCTCTTCTGTTTTTTAGAGTAATTTTTTTTCTTTTTTTCAGATTAATTTTTTTGTTTTTGTTTTTTTTGGGGGGGAGGTTTTCATTTTTCAGAGTAATTTTTTTTGGTTTTCTGACTATTTTTTTGTTTTTCACAGTATTTATTTTTTCTGTTTTTTAGACTAATTTTTTTGTTTTTGTTTTCAGAGTAATTTTTATTTTTTGGTTTTCAAGCTATTTTTTTTTCTCTTTTCTGTCTTTTTTTTTGTAAAAAAAAATGTAGGAAAAAAGTTTTTGTTTTTCGTGTTTTTGTCTTTTTTTTCTGGTTTTTGAAGTATTTTTTTTCTCTTTGTCATTTTCCGAAAAACCGAATGACGAAAAAAAAAAAAAAAAATAATAAAAATTTGTCTGAAAAACAGAAAGAGGGGGAAAAATATTAGTACAAAAAAACAAGAAAAATATTCTCAGAAAAACTAAAAAGTCCAAAAAAACAGCGAAGAACCCCCCCCTTTTTTCTTTTTCTTTTTTTTTTTGTGAGTGAATGCAACACGCTTCCGTACAGGGGTTATGTCAAATGAGGAAAACCAGGCGGCATTTATAGTTGTGGTTATTGTCACTACTTTTGGACCACTGAGGGTTTACAAATGTGACGAATTCATAGATGAATGTTGGACAGACACAAACATGCACACATTAATCCAGATGGAGGGTATCAATTCTCAATAACCCTAAGGGAATCCATTGGCTCATCAATAATTCACATACCTGATTGGGAACGGATTTTCTATCGGCTGATTTAATTATCGGACAAGTAAAGAGGCTTTTAGCGGCAGTGTTCTTTCTATTAAGGTAATCGCTGTATTGATAAACCAGCAGGATGGTACGTAAGCCAACTGTCTTGGGACGCTCCTGATGGACGCTGAGTGGTTTCTTAACATTGTGACTGACCGTCCATCCTGACCCTCCCATCCCCCCGTCTGGTTTTGCCAAGTCTAGTCTTACCGCCGTCAAGCTGCGGGATGAGAAGTAAAGATGACTCAATGGTTAAGTCTGCTCAGTTTGGAACAAAAAAACATTCCTCTCCCACAGTGGTATGCATGAAAGTCAGACAGATGGCATCCTAACCAAAGCACACATGGATCGGCTTGTGCATTTTGCCATATTTACACAGCGGCCAATTTCCCCTGACATTATGCTCGGGGCGAGAAGCTCAAATGCTGCTATTTGAAACACTATTAGAGAGTAATCTTTGCTAGGTAGTTGTTAAGAGCGGGATAAGAGTTTATCGAATAAAATATGGCCCTATTGACAGCTAAAATACAGACCAATAACTTTTCAGATTTTCACTTTTTTTAGATTACAGAAGAGGATTAGGGCCACTGGAAAAAAAGTAAAGGTCAAATATATATATTTTTAATTATTATTCTGAGTTTAAAGTCAGAATTTTGAGAAAAAAAGTCAGAATTCTGTCTTTAATCTCAGAATTCTGAGAAATAAATCAGTTTAAAGTCAGAATTCTGTCTTAAATCTCAGAATTCTGACTTTAAACTACATTAAAGTCTGAAAAAGGTCTGAAATATCAAACCTTTTTTTCCCCTAGTGGCCCTAATCCTCTTCGATTAGATGCTGGCCTAGTGGAAACAATTTACGAAATGTGCTCTCGTTATAAAATGGACTCAACTCTGAACCATCTCCTGGTGAAATTAAACAGCTTTGAATGGCGCTGTGGAATCACCAATATTAGCCCCAACATACTGGGCCCATGTGACTAAGCACTGGAGAATACGCGCCTGTTTCAGGCTGGAGGGCTGTGATAATGGGACTTTTGGGATCCATAAAAAGAGACGGCTGCAGGGGTGTCTGCATGTCTCAATGTGTGAATCATGTTTTCTGCTCCTGAACGCAGCTTGGGCTCTGCTCAAAGCTTTGAATGTTTCTGGTTGTCTCTGTTTTTATTATGCTCTTCAGATGGTGTAAGAGGACCCATGAACACAGGGTCTTTGCTCTCATGCTTCACGGTCTGAGTTAGTGAACAAAGTGAGTTTGTATTCGCCGTTTAAAGTGTTTTTACGTCGGGAGACTCACTGTAGTATAAGCTAGCTTTCGAATCCAAACACTCAACATGCTATTTCACCTTCAATCTAAGGGTGCAACACTCTACTATGATAACTTGACTTTTTTTGGCAGGTTTGCAAATAATTTAATCATATGTAGTCTTTTAATTTAGATTATTTCTTTACTTTCCTTTTGATCTGCAGTTAATGATAAGAGGAGGAATATTATGTTCTTATTTCAGGGTAAAACAACATCTCTCGTTTGGTAACTCAGAGCAGCTTACAATCGTATCTAAGCAGTTTCCAGCTAATGTTGATATTAGTTGTCCATATACCAAAAGACAAAGATGTTCATATGTTTCATATTACATATGTGTGAAACCATAATGAGTTACTGTATTGATTCAAATATAGGAGGACCCTCATTATGAGAATACCCCTCCTTATCAAGACTTGTTTTCAAACAATACATCCTCTGGACTAAATTTTGTTTTCATAAAGAAACAAACTGAATTAATAAAATTGATTAAATAATCGAATTTACAAGGACGAAATGTTTGCATGTGTAAATCAGGCACTAATAGTGTCAGTATACCATTCATGGTGATACACAGAGACTGTATATAGAATGGACGCCGTCTGCCTCCTGGGTGAAGCCACCGCGAGAACGGCACCCTCTAGTGACGGGCTGCAGTATAGGTCATAAATCCCGCCTCCTCAAGCAAGCTGTGAACAAACTTTAGAAGTTTATTACACAGAATATAAATGTTTCTCCCCCCTGGTTGTGATGTCAACATGTAGTCACTGTAAGACTGGTTTGTGCTCAAGTCCTCATTTTTCTGTACAGCTCCATCTTCAAAAGTTAGGTTCATGTTTTCTATGATTGACACCTGATACAGCCTATGGACGTACGAAGATTGTGTTATTCAGATGCTGTTTGAGCAGAGCGTCATCACAGCGACTCTCCCGCTAAATGCATACAACGCTATTGCACAAGTATTGGTTCCAGGAAGTGGCGAAAATCTCTGAAATACAGAGAGCAATTCGGCTTCAAATTAGTATAATGACGGGAGGCGGAGCCAAGTTGTCCATGGTATATACAGTCTATGGGAATACTGTGAAAATTGAAATAGCCTGCAGTCTATTGGAGGGATGCTGGTTCTGCTCACAGGCAAATTTCAATCACTTCTTTCCCATAAAGCTGCACAAGTGTAATTTGACTCTGTTTTCTTTTACTGTCTTTGGAAATTATGGTCTCAAGGATTTTATATTTCTTGGCTTCTTGGTAAAAAAATGCCCAGAAATGGTTGAAAAGCTTGTGACTATCAGATATGCTGTTTTGCCTTTGAATATGACTTGATTTCCACTTGATTATTCGGTGTGTAAGGAAAACGAGGACATGGGGAATCACAGTACTTGATGATAATTAGTAAAATACTGTATTTCAAGTCTCGGCCCTTGTTCGAAAATGGGAATTCAGATTTTCATTGAAAAAGCTCAGCCGCTGAGAGCCAAGTACAGCTCTTTTCTCATGAACGATGAGCCCATATGTTGACCCACACTTAGGCATGCCTCTCTGCTCTTTGTTCCTCTGCAGTTCATATCAAGATCGGAGCTCCAAACAGCTGCTGCCGCTGCTACACTTTCTCCCTGGGAAACCTGAGCTGTGCTATTGATCGGCCTTCCTCTGGTGGTAGGTAGTTCTCCAGCAGCCTGATGTCTCCACGATCACTTCATGACCTTAAACGACAGTGGGGGTGTGATGAACGACAGACAAAAACATTCCACATCAATCTTCCCAGAATGATTTCAACATTCTCTCTCTCTGAGGAGACGTGTCTATTTTAAATAATTTTCTGTTCATGACCACCAAATCCTTTAACCCCTGTCTGATGTGACCATTTGTTTCTTTTTCATGATGTATATTTATCTTCATTACATAATCCGTGTCTGCAGAATCTGCACCAAAGGCTTCGACTAACACGCTGCTGAGAAAGGTATGCTTTTTTAATGTCACTCTGAATGTGCAGGCACGTTGTTGTTCCTTGTCTGAGGCAAACCAGGCAAAGGTGGATTTATTATTTCATACTTTAATGATTATCTGGCTCGCTGTGTTCGACATAATTTTACTAGCCTGTCACTCCAGCCTGGAGACATGGCTGTTAAACTTGGCCTAATCCAGCCTGAGGAAAAGGGGGGAGAAAAAAAGGCCACGCCAGTCCAGCGAAAAGATAGGCATGGAGCAGGGGGGGGATGCCGAAGAAAAATATCTCGACGGCATTTTGCAAAAGCACCTCTTAAGTTAAGAAAACATAAGCGCTGAGGAGAAACAGCTGTGTGCACTGAAGCCTGGCATCCCGAGGACAAAAACACAGGCCGTTAATAATAAAAATAATAAGCCTGCTGAGTTCTTAATAAAAGGACCCTGATGAGATAATTCAGAGGAGTGAGGGGCCCTCGCTGCATCGCAGACTGACCTTGTCACCGCACCAGCTCCAGCACCAAAGAAGAAGAAGAAGAGAGAAGGCAGAAGGGTAGGAGTTGGCATGGATGATGGTATGTTGCTTCACCACAGAAGAAGAAAGTTGGCAGGGTGACCTGGTGCCACACGTGGGTACAGACTGCACCATGTTAATACTGGCCGAGAGCCAAGCTAGAGCCAAGTCTGGATTGGATAGTTCAGCATTTTTGTGTGGGTTTATTTGTGAGTGTGTGCGGTTTATGCGCATGCTTGTATTCCTAGCTTAGCGCAGAATGCCAGGGGAACCCCGAGCCACCCAGTTTTTCATCCTGTCCTTTTTCCTACCGACTTGATTTTTGCCACATTTCTGTCATCTGCCTCTCTCCCTCTCTGTCTCTTTTTCCACCATCTGGCTTCAGTGAACAGACCTCTGACAGAAGTGCTTAGACAGCTCCGACTCTCAGGTGCTGGGTGGTGTTAATAGGCTCATTTTATTCCCCCAAATCTCTCTGCAGAACCCTCAGTGAAAACTCATATTCAGGCGGTAAATTCAGCAGATCTCTTACGCATTTCTACCAAAAGGTCCAGAATACATACACTGCTAAAATCTTGGGGGTTCTGACTGGATAGTAGCTTCATTTGTCTTTCAAACCCCTTGAGATTTTTCATGCCATGGCACGAGTGGCATGTAGCCAAGTGTAGCTCCATGTCTGACTTGATTTATTGGAATCCAGGGAGCGGGAATAATTGAGAAAGGAGAGCAATAGATCATAAACCATCATAATCACAGTAACTATGCCATCATAAAACAGCAGCCAAACCTAAAGTCGAGACTAAAGGGAAATCCGTAAAGACTGCAACATGAAAATGAGAACTGTGAGAAAAAGGAGAGCGACCTCAGACCAGATATGGTCAGTAAAGTAATACGACCGAGATTAGTCATGCAGTAGACCGTCTTTTAAAGTACCCTGTAAGCCCGGGACACCGCAGGAGTTGTGACAAGTTTTTTGGGGGGGATTATATGATTAAAAACACAAACTCCAGTATTTTTTAAATTTTGGTTTTGGCACAGACCTGGTGAAAATAAAACCATTAAAAAATTAAAGCTCCTCTATACAAAACTTCAGTTTGTGTTGATTTTGGCGCCTCCTGTGGACAAACTCTTATTTCTTGTTACAGCCTCTATACAAGCAGTGCTTAAAGGACGTATCTCATCCTTCTTTCTAGACAGTTTGTCATTATTGGAGAGTACAGCTAAAAAGAGAGACATGCCAGTTTGCAAAAGGAAAGAAATGTCGTAGAAAGTCAAGATCAGTAGACATCAACCACTGAAATTTGGACTGTAGTTTCTGTATATGAGGTGAACTCTTCAAATGTTAATCCAATCAACTGCACTAAATAATAACTAAAAGGACTATTTTGTTTGTAGTCTCATTGGACATCTACCTGGTAAAGTTTCTACAGGTATTTAAAATCACAGTTCAGAGAAAGTCAGTCATGTTGTCAGCGCTTATATTTGCTTACAAAGTTTGTAAACTTGCATCAGTATCAATTTCAGTCTGTTATCGACCAGATATGAACCCTTACAGGTGCTTTAAATTACCCAAACCTGCAATGCTTTTGACTGTGTGTTCAGTAAATCAAGCCTAACTATTACAACCATCTCATACAAAAGCTTTTCTTAGCTACACATATGCCGGTTTTTGGTCCAAAGACAAAAGCAGCAACAGATGATCCTGCCTGTAGTTTCTGAAGAGCTCCAATAAATGAAAAGTTACCTCTCTGCAGGGACACAGGAAACATGGTTAGAAAGTAGAAAGGTGAGGATATTAAAATCACTATGCTGATCAGATAAAGACTAGCCTCTTTAATCGTGTAACCTCAGGTTGTAAGTTTAATATGAAGTCTTTAATAAGTTACAACATGTGGATTACCAAGTGAAATTTTTTTTTTACACCGACAGAACAAGCCGTAAACTAGAGGCGAAATTGGCTCAATATAAACATGCGAGAAGAACAGGCAGCCCACAGTATCCTCTGAATTTACTTTACAAAGAGGCTGGCTGCAGAACTGAGCTTATAAAGCATTTTAATGTCAGCATTGGAGGTTCGTTAGACTGATACTTGGCAGTGAACAGGCCTGAGAATTACACATTAGACGACTGAGTTATCTCCAGAAATTAGGGCACCATATAACAATTGTGAGTTACCAAGGAGTGTAAAGTCAGAAGTCAGGTTACTAAATGCATCTTTAGCCAGGTTTTGGATGACGATCTGAGAAGAAGCTCTTATTCTGAAGCCCACAAAAAAAACTGTAAACAGACTGTAAATATTTAATCCCCCTCCTCTCCCTGATGCAGAGCTGAAACTGATATGTCAACAGTGGAGTTGAATGGTCAGTTCAGACTCTTTCCTTGGGCTGCGATTGTATTGTTGTCAAAGACAGTACAGGGAGTTGGCCAAGGAGGAAGTGAAAACAACCTCCATCTAAACCCACAACTCGAGATACAGTATTAACTCACAGAGACACACAAACACACAGACCTGTAGTCCTGTAGTATTTGTTTCACAAAGTGTTCACTTCCCAGCTGGTTTAACCGCTGAGAAGGAGGCAGGGTCGAGGGTGTTAGTTAGTTAACACTGTTTACGGCTCCTCGGGGCGAATTCTGTGACTGAGTGAGAAACAGGTTTGCTTATGCACAGGGGGATTCAATGCCATGAAAAATAAGGTAGAAAAAATAAGTTTTAGAGGTCAATGGCAATTTGCTGTTGTTTATCAGACATTAGTCCTTGTTTGTTACGTGTGCGTTTAACATCCAAATGGTTTTGCACAGAAGAGCAATAATTCTTTAAACTGTTACTTGTAGATTTCATCAGCTGCAGCAAGCTAAGCCAGAGTTGGCTGAAAAATCACAGTCTCAAGCCCGTTTCCCACATGCCCTTGACTGTACAGTATTTCTCGACTTTGCCTAGGTGGTCTCAATTTTTCACCTCGATTTTGACGTGACTTTTTCCTGCCAACCATGGGTGCAATGTCTGCAGGAAGGATGAGCTGATCTTCGAACGCTTCAGGTCACAATTCAGAGGGGTGACGTCAGCCTGTGGATGAAACTAAATCTAGAAACTTATCTAAAGGGCTTGCTATAATGAGTGACAATTGTCTGCAGGCCAGTTAACGTACTGAGGAACTTGATTTTACCATCGTGGGAAACAATAGTTTCACACATACAGGAAAAAGCAGCCAAACTGGAACTCATGCTGTCATGTTTAGGGACACATTGGGCATCATGGAGCACATTTTGTGTATTTCTTACATTTTATCCTCTAAAAATAAACATTTTTTTGATAGGGTTCAGTTTAAAGTTCTCTTCTACCTATAAATCGTGGTTTCAGACCACATAGTGTAGCAGTGCAGAGTTTAGTGGAATAAAAGTCATGATCATGGAGGACATTTCATTGCATTCATTCAAATTCCAAATCAAGACACTTGTAATATTTGTTTTTAAATGCAAAATAATGGGATTTCAAGTATGCGATTAAATGCGATTAATTGCGATTAATTATTGAAATTCTGCGATTAATCTCGATCTTTAAAATACAGCCCTGATTAAAAACATTCACTTCCTAATTTTATTTTTCATAAAACTTAAAACCTGAAACTTCTGTGTTGTTGTTCATGTGAGCTAACAGCCATCAGTACACATAAGTGGAGCACATATTTCTGCACAAACCTAAAGCACAATGATCATGTGGTGTTGTTTTAGGGTTTAAAAACATATCCTGAAGCTCTGCGTGTTTGGTCTGATAGTCTGACCACAATGTGTGATGTCAGTGTTTTGAGAGCTTAGACTGGAAACCTGCCTTCCCGTCCGCCCCCCACTCTTCGCTCCTTCATCCCCTTTTCCCCTTCCTCATATATGGTTCATGTGTTGCTGATTACCCTCAAGTCCAGGTCTGGACCCACAGCTTCCACCTTCCCCTCTCATATGGTTTAAAGCAGCCGACTCCCTCGCTTAAAGTCCCCCAAAGGACTCCCACCTCAAAGAACCCCACAGCCACATTTGTGTGCAGAGGTACGTGTTTGTGACGAGTGTGCGCGCGGGTACAGTTTGCTCAAACAAAGACAAATACACACATAATCACACATGCATACACATACGTCCTCCCTTACCCTCTTTCCCTGGAGTCCTTTTGATTGACAGTGCCCGCTCCTGCAAGGGATTATAGTGAAAAATGGGAGTTGGGGGTGGAGGGGGTGTGGGGTCCCGGGGAGGGGTGAAGGGGTTTGAGGCCGGGGCGAGGGAGAGTGAGAAAGAGGGCCGAGGATTAGGCCCACTGAGCTTCATTAACCTGAATGTTTACACAAGCTGATCTCTCGCAATGAGACCCTTTTCCTTCCCACAAGTGTCCCCTTCAAGAATCCGCTGCCCCTTCCTCCATCCCCGCAGTCCCACTGAAGCAGTGGAGCTCTGTCCACATGCTGCAATTCAGGCATGCAGCCCAGCCTGATAAGGATTAGGGGTAATGTAGCTGCAAAGCAATGCTCAGCTGTAAACTCCAGGTTTATCCAGGTCGAGGGTTTTTCTTATGTTTTCTAAAGAAGAAAATACTTCTAATAATTTCGAAATAAACATGCAAGTTTTGGATTTTTGGCAATGTTTGGATAGAATTTTGCACAGAGTTGTGGGTTTTGGAGATTATACGGTTGTTACACCATGAAGAGAAAAACAAAGACTGGAAACGATCGAGAAATATGCTAGAGGAAACCAATCTGTGTATTTTGCATGGTCCTAACCGGTTTGCTTCCTTTCCCAAGGCTATCCCCGCTAATGTGCAGCATCCAACATTCATTTTGATTTTAAAACCAGAAAACTGAAGGGATTTTGAGACTTAAGGACAATATGCCACTTTATGTCCCATGAAGCAGTTTGCAGAGTACTGTTTGATACATATTTACAGGCTACTTTTAACCAAAACAAGTGTTTGAGGGATTATTTTGGAGATTTGGGAGTTAACTGTGATAGCCAATAGTGCCAAATGGAACACAGAGAAGGAAATCTGACTATCTTCTAGCTTATCTAGAAGAAGACAAAAAGTTGGAAGTAAGGCCAACTATGCGCCCACCTGTCAGTCAAGCAAGCCACACCCCTGATAATACAAAAGGATATTTAAACACTAAATCAAACAAATAGTGTATGAAACAATGGACGGTACAACAGCTATCGCAAGTGAAGCCAAAGCTTTGAGAGCTCTCCCTCTGATTGGCTGCAATATAAATCAGAAACCCCGCCTCCTCTACTATAACAGAGGGAACATGGGTAAAGTTAGATCATTTGATGTCAAGTTCACTTTTCTCAAGTAGGCTAAAAGTTCCTCCCATGCTGATTATTTTAGTTTTCATTTACGGAGAAGTTTCGTTTTTTGTTGTTTAGTTCAGTTATTGGTAGGGTGACCATATTCTGAATCCCCAAAAAGAAGACACAACTGCGCAGGGCGGAGTCGCAAAGTCGCACATAGTTAATTTTGAGGGTTTTTCTGGTCGGGTCGAGTGTTTTTTACACTCTTCTAACTCAGTTAGTCCACGCTACACAAACTCAAAACTTTCATACAAAACTCCGGACATTTGAAGGATTTTATAAACTCCCTTGGACAAAGCTGGACAGCCCCCAAAAAGGAGGACTTGTTCAGGTAAAAGAGGACGTATGGTCACCCTGGTTATTAAGCAAACTAGCTGCAGTAACATTCTGGTCACCTAGATGTTAAACTTTTCGAAAGTAGAGGTCTGTAAAGTCTGTTTTCATTCACTGCTTTTGAATAAAGGCCTAACTCACAGGTACCCACGGTCACAATAAAAAGGCAGAACGATCAGGAATTACAGATTTGTTGGATCCGTTCTGCGGTTTTTGTGGTTCCTATAATGAACGACTCTTGGGAATTCAACCAGAGGTAGAACATGTGACACTTTTGACAAAACAGTTCCTGTTTTACTTGTGTGTGAATAAATCACGGCTAATTCTCTAATGCACTACCACATCATGTATTACAAAAGTACAAAAGGGAGCTGAGAGCCGGTAAATTAGTGCCAATCACACAGCAGACTTCAAACACGCCGACTTGTGCTTTTGTTGCCGCTCTCCAAGGACCTGCTGAGTGGCCCAGAGTTGTGCCTGAGCTCTAAAGACAACACTGGGGGCTATTTGCTTCTCAGATTAAAGAGGTTGAGCAAGACAGCGGCAGCAGTAGGAAGACGAGCTCCAGAGGTTTCCCCCCTAAAGAGCAGTTAGCTGAGACGGACTGCCTGTATTGTTTAGCATCTCTGAGAAGGGGTGTTTTCTCTCGGCACTGAGGTGGAAAAGTAAATTAGCGTTCACTCTGAGCCTGGCTCCGGCTCTGACGAACTGAGAATGGTGTGTCGACAGCCACAAGACCGCTCTCTTCAAAGAGCTCGAACTTTAAGGACGCGGCTCGTGCTAAAGTAAACACAGAGAAGTCAGAGCGCTCGGTGAGACGGGCAGGCTGTGGCATGTGTTTCAAAATCGCCATCACATCAAATAAGAAGACAGGTTGAGGGGAAGTTATTCTGCGAGAGGCGATTCTTCATCTGCCATGTGGGTCTAATTCTTAACCCTGAATGATTGTGAAAGCCGTTGGAGGTCAGTGAAGGTCCATGCCTGCCTGACAAGATGCTGATCTGAGGCACGAAAGGAGGAGAAACACAGGGGGAGAGAGCATGAGAGCAAAAGAGAAAGACAGGAGGGCCGACAGTGAGCCTACAAGAGTGCCAAATCACGACTTCTGAGGAGCGGCCGTCCACACGATCTCAGACAGGAAAGGGAATGTGGGGGGAAGAGAAGGGGAGAATGAGCGATTGGAGAGAGGGGCGCAGTGAGGAAAAGAGAGGAATAGTTTTTGAGGAGACATCTGGATTTGATTAGGAGGGGCAGTGTGGACAAGCCAGTCTCTACCGCTTGTTTTGACTGGGCCTTTTAGGTGGAAGTTGATGTTGTTTGTTTTTTAATAGCAAGTGGCTTGTTAAGTGATGAACGCAAGCCATGGGCACAATGGGTTTACAAGGATTAGGCATTTTGAAGTAATGCTTTTTATCTCCCCGTGTGTTTGTAAGAGAACAAAATGTATTTGTGGGAGTGCACGACTACTGCGGGGGAGGCTGGAATATACACAAAGCATAAATTTCCCTCAAAATTCAAAACCTTTCTTCTTCTTCAGAGTTGGCTTTCTAATGCTCTTTGATGTACCAAGGACATGAGCCAAATTTGTTAACAATCCTTTTTCCAGGGTCCCAGAAGCTCAAGAAAACCACAGGAATTCAGGGAGTCCATGCAAATGAAGAAAAGAACAAAACTAGACTGGAACGGATGACGCTAAAGAAGAAGAGAGAAGAACTGAATTAAAAGGAATTAAGTAAAAAATGACAATCTGAAAGAAAGATGAATCGACTTGAACTCAGACTGCAACCCTAACCCTATATCATTAAAACTTTTTTTTTTGCTTGAAAATAGTGCCGGCGTAAAATTATTTTAGGATCAAGCACACCATAACACAAAGTTAGACACCCCGTCGAGAGATGAATGTTGCCGACCGCTTGCTTTTCTAGTTATACCAACTTTAGTAACGACCGCAGGATAGCAATACACAGCGGTCTGAGGAGCCATAAACGAAGTCAACCAAAACCGCCACTCTATAGCCACAAATAATGCTCAGCACAGCATCTAAGCCATAGTACTAGCCATCAAACATCTTTTCAACTTTGCCTGATTTCTTTAGCAAAGTGACTAAACACAACTCACCTACTCTCTTCCAGTAGCCAGTCCATTACAGACTGCTGCGGGGTGACGCAGCTCAAGGAGGAACATTTATGATCATTTCCTCATGGAAACACAATCAGACCAAGACGCTAAGGCAGAAGAACTACCGCGTCTGCAGTGCAAATTGATTAATATGGTGATTATTACTTCAAGGAAATGATAAAGTAATGATCATAAATGTTCTTCCTTAAGCTGTGCCACCCCGCTGTAGTCGATGGACTGCTGGAGGTATTGCTACAAACAAGCGGCTGCTGGATAAGAGTAGGTGAGTTGTGTTTCGTCAAGTTTTTACGCACTTCTAACTCAGTACGTCCACGTGACACAATCTCAAAACTTCCATACAAAACCCCGGACATTTTAAGGATTTTATAAACTCCCCCGGACAAGGCCGACCCCAAAAAAGAGAACATGTCCAGGTAAAAGAGGACGTATGGTCACCCTAACCATGCAGACGTACTGTCCTGAATTTCTGAAAATTAAGATTATAGATTTAGAATAAAAGTCATTGTTTCAGGCCGTTACACTTTAAAAAAAAAAGGTCAGTGTTTAATGTTGGGTTTGGACTTTGTTACTCCGATCTCTGAAAAAGGTAGCGCACTTTGAATTGCGCTCACACAGCAAAACTGCGACTCAGACCTCGTCTCTGTTACTTCTTTGCAGATGTATTGAGTGTGAGAGGAACCTCATGGCATGGCGTCGTGCACCGCTGAATATGAATAAACCATCAAGTGCAGAGACTCAAGCCAAGCCAAACTCAGCACGCAGGCATCACAGCAGAACAGGGCAGGAGGCCCCCGAGCTCTAACTGCACTCAAACCCCCCTCCCACTCCCCTCTTGACGTTCCCAAAGTCAATTGCCCATCAAAAAAAGATAATGGTTTAAAAAATATATTCCTGCAGTGATTTTTTTTTCTGCTGTCTGATTTTCAATTATCATTGGAGTGAGAAGACATGAATTCAAGATGCTGTCTGTGACAGTGAGGACTGGCGAGTCTTGAGGAGCTTTTGAGGAGTTTCAGAGAAGAAACAGGAGAAGTGGAGTGGGGCTGCGTGTCCTCTGAGGGCTCTGAGGCTGTGATGATGATGATTGAACTTGATGTGTGTTTGGTAGCTGCTGCTGCTCCTGAAGGGCAGCTGCAGAAATGTCAGAGGAGGTTGAACCTTGGTCTCTGGCCCAGTTAGGCAAATTCAATCCCAACGTGTGTGAAGGATTGATGAATGATGAAGAGTGGCGTTGAATAGCCATGGATGTCTTCAGGGTGACCAGGTAAGACTGCTACTTGAACCGGGTGATGGCTTGGAAGAGAAAAAGAACCTACTAAAATGTCCTCTCTGTGCTGACAACGTTTTGGACCGAACCAGTTTTCATAGCAGCGATTTTTGAAGAGTATAACTGCAGAAGTTATTCAAACACATTCAGACTTTTTCTGCCAAAGGATCTTGAAAATTATCGTTCAGCTGGAAGAAATCTTAATCTTAACATGACTCATGTAAATATTTAAACACAGCTCCACAGGTTACTGGCACAGTTTGCAGATTTGTTCACCCTAACTGTAATATAATTTATTATTGAGTGAAAATTAGAGTTGTTTTCAGGAATGCCACAATTGGCATAAACCAAAAGTTTTTCACAGGACATTTGATCACTGCCAACAACGAAAATAAACAAAAAACGAACAGAAATAATTGATTACATGAAGAAATAGCAAGGGATCATTGGGGGCTTTAAGGAAAAGTCACTATTGGGGGTGTGTACTTAGATTATATTCACAATTGTGGCTGAGCGTATGTTTTAAAAAGGTTTATGATCAGGTTTAGACAAAAAAAAGAAAAAAGTGTGTTGTATTTAGTGAGACAGACTTTTAGAATCAGAGTTTCATTTTCAGAAGTCTGATAAAAAAAAAAAAGCATATAATCACAGTAGGGCTGCACGATTTTGGCCAATAATAAAATCCCAATTTTCGATTTCTATTTCAATTTTTTATTTAGTGAGCACTTCACCAAACTTCACTTTAAAAATAAAAAGTTTTTCTATCATCTCTCAAAACGAAACCACTGAAAACGATGTTCTACATATGCTGTTTTCATAAAGTAGCATTGGCAGTCAACCGAAACGCCGATATGACAAAAAACTTTTGCATTTACTCATGAATTTGTTTCCGTGGTGACGGGTTGATACCGTCTTCAGACAGACTTTACAGTGGGGAGTGGTTTGCTCTTCATCTGTAACCGTGAAGTGGTACCAATATCCACACATCTGACTCGCTCTTGTCCTATTTAACCATGAAATTATCGCCTTCTCATGCAAACGCCGTGTTTGTTTACACTGTTGTGTGTGGGAACTGGGGAGCGCTCCCGCAGGAAGGGGGAGCCTACGGTGGCCTGGAGGGGCGAGACATGATAGAGAGGAAAATCGATTTGATGATTTTAATTTTTTTAACATTTTCATATTAAAATAACCCGATTATGATTCAAAATCGATTAATTGTGCAGCCCTACTTCTTAGTTGTACATTTATCTATGATCCACTGGTTTCTCCTCCACGTCAGAAAAGTTTCAGTTTTTTCATATTTTGCGGTCGCCTGTAACACGAGCGAACGTAAAAAGTTTCTGATGCATCCTCTGGTTGTCGGCTTCACAGCAGCAAAAATGAAGATGAAAATTCCAGTTATTTGACATTTTTACAACTACTTTCTTATTTGTTACGACTTAATCATCATTCTGAAGCAACAACCACATTCACAGCTGTGTAAGCTATTTTTAATCCACATCCTCTCATATCAACCTGACTTTAAGCAAACACCAGCAGTGAAATGTTTACACCTCGTGCAGTGGACTCACTTGTTATCTTTGCTCTGTTTAATCGTCTAAGAGTTCTTGAACCTCTGGCCACCACACCTTGGCAGCAGCAGCAGCAGCAGCAGTGTGTCAGGGGATCAGTGAAACTTTATCCTCAGGACGGGAAACCAGCTGGGGAGCAGAAAACAGGAGCGACTGGAGGATGTTCTCTCTGCTTACCAAACAGAAACTCAAGAAGATCTGTTCCAGGGGCGAGGAGGAAGGTGTTAAAGAAAGTATCAATGTCCTGGAGCTTCTCCCGTATCTGCAGGGCCTTTCTGTTGTGCTTGTGGTGGAGTGTGAGCTTTTGTGTGTGTGTGCGTAAGAGAAGGATTTCCTGGTCTTAGAAAAATATTTGACATCGACCGTCGTAGCTAGGACAAAACAGAGCTATAGGTTTTATTTTTACAGTGTGACCACTAATGATGAGCCTTCGCCAAGTGAAAAGGGGGGAGATTAGATCCAAGTTTTTATTGTTGTGTTTGATGACTGGGAGGTCTGAAAATTTCAATTTCCTTAAGTCGTTATTAGCTGGAGAGATGGGAGGAAAGAGACTGAACACTCTGGTGAGTTATTGTGAAATAATCCGCAGGTTACATAAGGCCATTTATGGCTGAAATTGAATTGTTTGCAAATGTGGTAATTATCCACAAAGAGAAGATTAGAGCTGTCAAGAATAATAACTCTAATTATAAAAACACGGGTCAAAAGGTTGAAACGTCTAAGCAATAACTGAGAGTAAAAATGTTCATTACATCCACGTCCTTCCTCACTGTAATCTCACTGTCACACCCACCTTTTCTTCCGCAGGTCCCTGCCTCACCGGGGTAATTAGCCAATCAGTGAAGAAGCACTGAAAACAGGCGACCGCAGGTGAGACCTGTGGCTGTCTGTCATTATCTCATCAACCCATCAATCACACAGAAGCAGCACCCCGAGGGGAGCTTTTGCCAATAGGCACGCAGGTGAACCCTTAAATCAGCTTTAATTGGGCTGCTGAGTAACAAGCACGGTTGAAAGGTGTGGGAAAGTGAGACTGACGGAGGAAAACTTTATGGAGCTCGGAGAGAAACTGCGCCAAGTGCAGAGGCAGGGATGGTGATAATAGTCGCTCTATCTGTCATCACTCTGTAACACACCTGAGGGGAGAAAGTGAACAATAGATTTACAATGAGAGGACAATTTGATCAGCAGAGAGGGATGGTCAGAGAAAAATCAACACCATCACGTGCCAAATGAGACTATTTGAGGAGTGCATTGTTAAAAAGATGAACCAGCAGCTTCTTTGGCACCCAGCCTCCAGGCGGCGACCGATAATCTTTCCGTAGAAACACCGAAGAGTCACAGGAGTCCAATCTTCTTGGCTCTGGCTCTTGATATTTCACTCAACTCAACACTACAAATTTATTGACAGCTTTTAAAAAATATTTACTGCCCCACTTCCTCTCCCAGCGGGCACCTAGCCTGTAATCTCCCTACCCGTTTATTAGATCATTTGTCAAAGCCTCGAGCTTTTCTTCTCTCTTTTTGTCATCATCCCCTCCGCTCACGCTCTGCACGGAGGGGTGTGTGTCTGTGGTGTATGTGTGTGTGTGAAAGAGATAAAGAGAGTATGAACACTGGGTGAAAATGGGACCGCAGTGGGCTCGAGGATTAACTCCTTCCATGCCTTCCTTTTCCTTTTTAAAACAGAATTTACAGCTGATTAGCCTCCACAGTAAAGACAGGCCCCAGTTCCCAGAAGGAACGCTGCTAAACATTTATGCAAGGCCAGACGTAAAGACCCTTATTAAAAACATGTGTTCACCAAAAGACCCCTCAGAG